CCAGTAGAAAACAGAAAGACTCCTTATTAAATCCAGTGTTTTTTTTCTCCTTTCACCAGGTTTTATTTCTCTTTTGGCACTACTATTTCAAAGAATTGTCAGAAGACTTTTTTTCTCTTATGGGGGTGTAGTTTGATTTTTGTCCTACGAAACTTTTTTTTAAAAAAAGGGTTGAAGGATATCAATTATACACTTTACAAGAAAAACAAGTTCTCAAATACAATATTCTTAGCAGCTAATATTTATATACATTCTTCCAGAACACTTTTCACTCTTATAGCAGGTAGTGTTGTCAAGTAATTATTTATAACATAAATAACCTTTATTATAACTAACCACATTTTAATTCCCATTACTCTTAACTGGAAACTGTTCCAAGCTCTAATCTTGTGAATATCAGAAACCTTCTTCGAATTTTCAGCCTTAATTCTAGCAGGAACATTTTCTATTTCTTGATTTTGTGTAAATTTTATTTTTTGGTTTAAAAAACACGAAAATATTTACAGAGAGGAGCCTTTTCTTTCAGCCTTTTCCTTTATCAGACTGGACAAATCAAGCACTTTTAGCCCCTCCTCAGATGAGAGGATACCACTTTCAACTGTTGATCAGAATAGCTCCTTTCAGCCCCTGTTCCTGACTGCATCGTCCTCTTGGGAGACATGAGCAGCCCAGTGCAATGCTCCAGAAGGTATCTATCTGCTTCCTCAAGTGCTGGAATTGCTATTTCCCTCTTTCTACTGAATGCAACACATTTACAGTTTATTAGCCTGATAGCTGATAAAAACCATCTGATATCATTGTCCACAGTCTTGTTAATTAGCACACAGCTCAGTAACAGCAAGTTTCCCAACAAAAGAAATTACTGCATAGAATAAAGACCATGTACTCATTGTGGCTTCAATCGACGCGCCAGTTTCCTAACCCACCTCTAATTTATCAAATATTAGTAGTTATTTTTAAACAACGGAAGCATAAGCCCAACAAATTACACCTAACAAAAGGTTAAGGTAACAAAAAAACCTGTTGATAAATTTGGAATGGTGGGTGCATATGTAAAAGATATTAAAAAAATTAATTGAAAACTAGTGTCTGTCATTTGAGATTTCTCTGAGGCTATCTATCAGCAACACATGTCCTTAGACAAGCCTAACAGTATCTGGGCTCAGGAATACCCCTTTTCCATCTGGATCCTGAACTGAGGCATATCCCATCTCAACTTCACCTAAGGGTAAAATCATAACATTGTGCACAAATGAGTATCTGAAAATCCTCATTTTCCTCTTCTTGTTGCTGATCAACTGTACAACATCTATTGCAATAGTTGTTTAATTCTCTTTGGATATTTGTGGAAAAGAAACAAAAGCTTGGCTAGTACCAGTATACACATTGGCATTTTAATATATTGATGTATCTATTTGACTCCACCTTCTTCCTCTGTTACTCTTTTCAGTTACAGTTTATTTGGCCTCCTCCCTTTCCAGATAATTGAGCTTGCTTTAGCAAACTCATATTCATATAACAAAATTTTTTGACCAGCAGAATTAACGAAGCCTGGTTTCCTACAGACTTATGTTGCTGATTCCCAAGTCTCATTCTCATATCCTGTCTCCTAAAATACCCTCACTACGCAAAACCAGCACTTCAAATGGCTGATGTGAGTTACACACCTACTGCTTGGCTCAGCACTCCACAGTTACTCAGATATCATGTTCTTGTGGTTGTTGCCAAAGAGAATATATTGCATACCTTGCTCTGACTGGAAAATGTTTCTTAGATTACTTTTAAATTAAAATAAAGGGGCCTCCGACGAAGTAAGAATATCAGCAAAATCACAACAAATATAAGCATAGATAAATTTGTTTGAATTCACTCAGTCAGGAGGATTGAAAAATACCTTATGGTTCTCACTTTTTTTTGCATAAAATATCTTATTCTGTAAAATGTGTATTGTCAAAAGTATTGGCTGGATCAGACCCAGAGGAAGCTTCCAGCAGCTTCTCACAGAAGACATCCCTGTAGCACCCTTGCTACCAAAACTTTGCCACACAAACCCAACTCACCTCTTAACCAAAAAGGTAGATTAGTCTCATTCCTGTAACAATGCTATTTTTGCCAAGCAAGGTGGTTAGCCTTTTACTCAGATGTGTATCTGGGGATATGACTAGCAACCATACTAACACAAAGGAAGGTTTGTGCTTAAACTTAACATATAAAGCACAACAGACTACAGTATAAGGAGAAAAAAAGCAAAACAAATCAGCAAACACCCACCTCCCAAATGCAGTAACTGTCTCTAAGTTACTGTCTCTAAGTTTTCTCTTTTCTTAAAGGTCTCAGAATATTCAAATATAGTTAAGAAAGCAAGAAGCTCCTGTTTTTTCTTCTTTTACCTTATTCACAGATCCAACTAAATTTACGCCCTCTCCTTTACTTGATGAATGTTAATTACTTTTTCTCTATCCCAAACCATCAGAGCATACCTGTCCCAGTCTGACAGCAGCCTGGCTGCCATGCAAAAGCTGGTCTGCATTACTGCCCATTATGCTAGTTTTGTCTCACGGTGCATATCAGATCAGCCATGCATTAGACAAACACAAGTAAGAGAGCATGAGAGGTCATCTGCCAGTGCAGCAGCTACAGCTGAGCAACCGTCATGCTGAAAACACTGCAGCTTTTTAGAGACTTTCTCATCAGCACGGAACCCCATCTTTCTAATCTATCCATGCTGCCTGTCTCTCTTTGTTTTCTTTCCCCTTACGATTCTAGCAGGTACCTTCCTCAGCCTCATTTAAACCTGTTGTCTTTGATTTGATGTTTGACTTATAAGTAGAGTTCACTGTTGCTGGAGAGGCGGCCACCCTAGTCAGCTGCCACCAGACTAGTAATAGCAATTGGTGATACCACAAGTTTCACAGTGCTTTATTTATCTTCTTCCTTTAGGATTCAGTTAATTACAAGGTTAATTACAAGGTTAATTACAGGATATGCAGCATGGGCATTTAAAAGAGCTCTAATCCTAGGATAGAGATAATTTCCTGAGTAGTGGGACATTTTCTTTCTCCTCTGGAGTGAATGACAGAAGTCTCTGATAAGAGCACAGCTTAGATTGCTTCAAGGCTCATTGACTCAGTTCTGTGGCTCCTGGAACTGTGAATTTGGACAGAATGGGTAGCTGAGGAGAATAAAAATGTGCATAAATTTGAAATGACTGTTAGAGAGTTAGGAATGACACTCCTGGAAGATCAAAATGCATATTTTTGTCATAAGTCTGTATGAAAAGATCAGTGAACTTCCTGAAAGATTAATGGGATGTATAGAAGCAAAATGTTTACTAATGAGCACTTTTTTATTTCATTTCTTTTGCGGGGAGAGGTGGTGTCTGATTGCTTTTGCCTTTTGAAGGTGAACACAGGTAGTGCTTTTAATCACGGGGGAAAGTTCTGGTTAGCAATAACTTCTTTGTGTCTGTGATTTCTATTTATGATGACATTTAAGGAAAAGGCGGTGCAAAGACTGTCACAGTGAATCAAAGGAGCAGGCATTTCAGACTAAGTGAAGCAAAAGTCCTGTACCTACTTCTGCAAGGATAGCAAAAATGCTGCTGCACGTGCATGTGAAGGCACAATAACTGTGACACAACTAAGTGATAGCTAAAAAAGCAAGCAAGCAAGCAAACAAGCAAGCAAAAGGCTGTGGAAACTTGTTCCACAATGTGTAAAGTTGTTTATCTCGTCAGGACCTTTTCTGACAGAAAGACACATGATCACCGCTTGGGCTGAGCATGGGAAGAAGTGCAAAGGAGGAAGTTACAAGATGCTTTACATAACCCCCCTAATGTAGAAATTTTTCCTAATATCCAACCTAAACCTCCTCTGATGCGATTTGAGGCCATTTCCTCTCGTCCTGTCATTATGTGCCAGAAAATACATTTTGTGTTAGAAAGTATCAGGCAAGCATGTCACCATGCAGGAAGTTAAAATTCACATGCAAGTGAGTGGTCAATACTTCAATCAAGACAGTTAAGCGCTTGTTGTACTCACATTAAGTTTTTTATTGCACTTGTATTAAGCACAAAGGTCAGTCTGAGTGTAGTGTGACTACATAATGTCAGTGTAGTTTCACAATTCATTTTCTTCAGCCTTAGCACAGCTGGTTTAGCTCTCTATCCCATGCTGATCCTACATCCCACAGCACTACCTCATCACCTGTGGGAACACCATAATTTCTGAGGCTGTAACAGTGATGTGTTTTCTTCAGTATCTAGTGCTGGCTTCTGATCTCCCCTCCCCTTGCTACTCATTCCTCCCCACACAGCAAATTGTGAAGTCTTCTCAGTTTTGCAAATATGGACGGTAGGTGGCAAAAAAAATCAATTTCTTCACACCTTTCCCCAGGAAGTGAGACAAAGTCTGGGACAGGAAATAAGGGCAAGGGAACAGCTGAACTTCTTCAAAGACAGGTATGAGAAAGCTTAAGCATAATGGCTCTGTTTCCTCCTTTCTGTCTCCTTGAAAGCCTGAGATGTGCAGGCGTCAAGGATCCCTCAAGGTGCCTCCATTTTAGGTTTAGAAAATGTGTCATTTGCAGAATGTCTGACAGGGGCTTAAAAAGTTGCTACATCCTTCTCACAGCTGGGGTGGTGTGTAGCAGAAGAGGTTTCTTCTGTGTTCATCTACTCATCTGGCCCAGGGTGGCCTCGAGTCTGAAAGGTTAAGGTGCAGAATTACCTGGCATTGGGACACTGGATAGGAGACATAGAAACAGGAGGGTGGAAAAAGTTGAAGTCTCCATCCTGCTTTTGCAGCACTTCAATTTTTTGAAGTGCATACACATTTGCAAAAATAGAATAAATCCTCTCACCATAAATTAATGTGAATTTATTTTCAATTCAATAAATAAATCCTCTACATGTATTAATTCAGAGTACTGTTTCTGAAACACTCCACAGGGTAAACGCTTTGTGTTTTTTTAAAAAATGGGGAGAGAGCACAAGTCCCAACATGACGAGGAGGAGGACGAGGCTCTTCCAGCGGCTGGGGCTGACAGATATGACACAGTACTTAAAACACAGCATTAACAAAGTCAGGGCAGGCATCGCAGAGGCCGACATCCGCGTTTATCACTTCGGCCCGGGGCCAACTCCAAACCACAACCCTCTCCGCCTCCGTGGCTCCACAACCCCCGCCTCCGCCCCTTCCCGCGGCGCCCCCCAGGCGCCGCCCCGGCAGTGCCCTCCGCACCGCCCTTCACTGCGCGCCATCCGCCCTTCCCGGCCGGGCGCAGGCGCCGCAGCGGGCGGGGTGGAGGCGAGCGGGCCGCGGTGGGGCAGAGGAGCCGGGGGCCGTCTCCGCTCGGTCCCCCCCAGGCGCTGCCGGAGCGGCCAAGCGGGTGCCGCCGCTGCTCCTGGCGCTCAACAGCGCTGCTGGCGCCCCGCCGGAGCGCGGCTTCCCCGCGGGGAGCAAGCCGCCCCGCAGGTAACGGCGGCGGGGGCGGGATGGGACGGGACCGGACGGGAGGGGCAGGCCCGACCGACGATCTATCTCTGGTCAGCACGGATCTCCTGAGGGGCGGCGGGACCGGCGGTGCCGCACCCCGTCCCGGAGCGCTCCGTGACCGAGCGCTGCCGGTGCGGCCGCCGGCCCGTGTCCTGCCGCCGCCCCTGCGGGCGGGGGAGTGCGAGCAGCCGGCGGCGGCGAGGGGAGCCGCGCCCCACTTTGCTGAGCGTCGTCCGCTGTTCCCCGGGGCGGTTGCCGTGCTGTCCCGCCGAGGAGCCCCGGCGCCGGCCGAGCCCGCTCTCGGTTCAGCCTTGCCGGAGAGTCCGTCTCGTAGCGCCCGCACCGGCTGTGGGAGCGCGGCACCGTCAGCCGTGCGGTGCTGGCATCAGCCCTTGTTTCAGGTGTTCGGGCGTCTTGTTCCGCAAAGCCAGAGCAGGCTGCGCATCGAACAGGCGTGCTCCACTGTGCTTTGTAACTTCACATGTCCAGAGAGGCAGAGAATTTCAGTGCGAAAGTGGGGAGCACGGGACTGGGGAGCGCAAATAAGGCATGGGGCTCGTGGCCTGGACCACGCGTGTGGGGGAACCTTTCGGCCAAGTGCTGGCGGGGAGAAGGGGTGGCTGGCCAGCGGAGAGCTGTTTGTGCAGAGATGCGGCAAGTAAATTATGAGAGAAGTGGTCAGGTTTCAAGTTTACATTCAAACTGGAGCAGCTCATTAAAACCAGGGATTGCTATCCAAAGTCAAATGAGAACATAGATTTAATTTTTAGCAGTATTGAGAGCTGTATACAGGTGTTGCACATCATGCCCTTCATGAAAGGACTCGATATAGGAAGCATGCCCACACGTTAGATAAATGCAGCAGTGTTCTCCTTAGCTTCACATACAAAGCAAGATCCATTTACCTAAAACGCTGCATGCAGTAGGTCACAGAAATGCTGGCTATGTGCCTGGGCTCCTTGGATTCTGCAAATGGAGATGTCCTGGAGTTTAGAGCCATACCCAGGTGAAGTGACTGAACTTGCTTGCCCTTGGGGATGGGCCACACCATATGGGAAGTCTATTTAAATTTATCTTATGTGGACTAAGAGTACTAAAAATGGTAATCTGCCTGCTTTCTTGTCCCTTGATAGTTTACATCTTGACTGTCCAGTTTGTATGAGTTGGTGGCTGATTGTTAACCTGTAAATCTTGCAGGGGAAACTCCCCTCTTTTCCACATTGGAGTGGTAGGGTAACTTGGTATGTTAAATTCCGTCTTCCATGATCTGACTTAACTTCTTTTAAGGGTGTGCTTTTATTGCTAGTAAACTATGTCGTTTCTACATTGTATTAAGCATTTTTAAGGTAAAAACCACAATACCAGTAAATCACTTGTAAAAAAACCTGCTATAATCCAGCACAACACATGTACTCTGTGTAGGAGTACAGCCAGTGCTGTGGTGTAGGTGATGTAGCAAGTTTCCTAGAAGCAAAAATCTCGTCTTTCTGCCTATGAGTGTAGCAAACCCTCAGCTCAAAGGAGCAGAATATGCTTCTGAGTTAGGTTTTGAAAACAAGCAGCATTTTCCTGATGACTTGCACTCGGGTTGGTCTCAGCCAGTTATAACCATGCCCTTCAGAGACTTCATCATTTAAGTAAAAACTTACATTTTCAGTGAAAAAAAAATCATGAAGTGAATTCTAATTGATATTGCTGTATATTAGCTGAATGTGTAATGACTAATACAATGTTCTTAGCATGATTATATTGATGCAAGCAGATTTGCTGACTTACAGTGGAAGAGTTGAAGTACAAGGGGAGGTCTGAAGGATGTTTATGATGCTTTCACACACAGAATGGGTCAGATCGGAAGGGACCACATCTGGTCCAACCTCCCTACTCAAGCATGGTCATCCTAGAGCACGTGGCACAGGATTATGTCCAGACGGTTCTTGAATATCTCCAGTGAAGGAGACTCCACAACCTCTGGGCAATCTGTTCCAGTGCATGGTCATTAGCACAGTAAAGAAGTTCTTCCTCATGTTCATATGGAACTTCCTGTGCATCAGTTTCTGCCCATTGCCTTTTGTCCTATTGCTGAGCACCACTGAGAAGAGCCTGGCTCCATCCTCTTGACACCCTCCCTTCAGAGACTTGTAAGCATTGATGAAGTTTCCTCAGTCCTCTCCTCTTGAGGCTGAAAAGACCCAGTCCCCTCAGGCTTTACTCATAGGAGAGATGCCCCAGTCCCTTGAACAACTTTGAACCCTCTGCTGGACCCACTCCAGGAACTCCATGGCTCTCTTGTACTGGCGAATCCAGAATTTCATTGGCAACAGTTGTATGATTTTTTTTTCCTTAAGTCTTAGCAGGGCTTTCTGTATGCCAGTAGTGTAATACTTATCTCAAGACTGAGTATGTAATGGGGAAATGCCCAGTCATCCTCACATTCTGTTGTAGGACACCATTTTCCTTAGAAAGCCAGACAACCTAGCAGGTGTTGCAACACCTCCTGCATTTCCTACAGCTGAGTGTCTAACGTATTTGCATTGATGCAAACTGTGACTCCTCAGTGGAGCTAGGCACTTGTTGATGGGAACTCTCAGTCTCTGTTTTAGTATCCTGCAAGAGGAGGTCTCTGGTCAAGATTACAGTATTAGAAGATTTGGATGCTGTGGTAGCAGTTCAGGTGCTTTTTGCACATTGAAAGCCAGATTTCCAAGGGCATGTGTAGTTCATTTGTGCAGCTGACTTCCTGTTATATGTGATAATCATGGTGGTCTTGATTTGTTCTTTTATGGTTCAGGTTACTGGCAGTCATAGCAATTGTCTGTCCAGCTGAAAACAAAAATAAATTATATGGTAGAAAGTTATGTGTTTAGATATCATCTATTATAATGACTTCTCATCTATAATAAAAGTGAAGAATAGTCATAAAATAGATAAAACAATATTTAGCTTCTACTATTACATCATTTTTTTTAGTGTCCATTCTGTGCAGCTTGCTGTGTTTTTTTAAGATGGTGATGTGAGTCTGCCTCTCGTCTCCATACAACTTACCATCTTGAGGAGATTTTTATCGTAAACAGTGCTTTTTAAAAGCTCCATAGAACAGTGTCAAACCTTTGAGCCCAAAGAAAATAAAATCCTGTCGTAAATAGAAGCTGTAAAAATGCTGTAAATACTATGTATAGTGTTTACCCTTGATTCTTATGAAATAATTTATGTTCATTTCACTAAATATTAAAAAAAAAAAGCTTTAAATTTTACCCCTGGTCATTGTACTCCCTTCATTTGTAAATTAATTCTTTTTTGAATTTAAGATCTTTTGAGAACTTCTGGTAGAACCTTCTGCATAGAATTGCTGTTACATGCATTAATTTAAGCTTGTTTGTAGTAACTTTGTCAGGTAAGTACCATCAAGGCACAGGCGTGGTATTACAAGAGTAATGTATGTCCTGTGTTTTTTTTGGAGGGATAAATGAAAGCGAGTGAAGGCAAGCAAATGCAAGCATTTCCACATACACTATGTGGCTTCTGCCACTTAAGAGAAGGCTGGGCAAGTAGCAGGCACAAAATTTCTTCAGCACTTTGTTGCTTGGTGTGTGCCAGTCTCCCAAGCTCCCCACCAAAGCCAGCTGACAGTCTCCCTTCCAGCACTCTGACAGGAGCAGGAATGGGCTGTTTAGTACCTGGCCTGCCAGAAGTGTACATAGAAGGGGTGGGGTGCATGCTAACCCAGGTGTGCTACCTCGAAAGAGAACATGGCAGAGGGCAGAGACCCTTCTCTGACAGCCATTTTCCACTTCTTGCCATGACAGGTGCTTGTGTTCAGTAGCCTGTGCTGAGGTCTGACCCCTTCCTGCTCAGATTCTGTCCTATGGTTCTGGGCAGTGCTCCTAGCTCTCTTCTAGCCCCCCCAGATGGCTGTGCTCTGCTTTAGTACAGACCAATTTTGTTTGATTCAGAACAGATTGAAATGAGGATCTAAATGATTAGTGGACTGTTTGTCATGGTATTAAGCCCAGCCAGCCACCAAGCCCCAAACAGCTGCTTGCTCACTCCCCCACCAGAGGGAATGGGAAGAGAATCAGAAGGGTGAAAGTGAGAAAACTCATGGACTGAGATGAAGTCAGTTTATTAGAGAAAGCAAAAGGTGTTCAGAACAAGGAATTAATTCACTGCTTCCCATAGGCAGGCAGGTGTTCAGCCATCTCTGGGAGAGCAGGGCCCAATCACATGTAATGTTTACTTGGGAAGACAAACACTATCACTCCAAACATGTCCCTCCCACTTCCTCCTTCTTCCCCCTGCTTTATATACTGAGTATGACATCATATGGTCTGGAATATCCCTTTGGTCAGTTGGGGTCAGCTGTCCTGGCTGTGTCTCCTCCCAGCCTCCCATGCAAACCCAACTTTCTTGCCAGCATGGCAGTATGAGAAGCAGAAAAGGCCTTGGCTCTGTGTAAGCACTGCTCAGCAATAACAAAAACATCACTATATTATTGTTACTGTGTCCAGCACAAATCCAAAACACAGCCTCATGCCACCGCTGTGAAGAATTTTAACTATAACCCAGCTAAAACCAGCACATTCTACCCCATATCCATACCATTTACCTCATGTCCAGGTCCCACACTATTAGTATAGCTTCATTAACCACCAGCACCCTTCCCATTCTTTGATATAATGCACAGGTATCATTCCCTTAGCCTATAGACCACCCCTGCAAAATGTCCATAAAACCTCTGTTGAACTCATTTACTCCATGACTTTTGGCCTCTGTTGTGATGTTCTCTTGGGTCAGGAGGGGTGATGTGTTAGAATTAGTGAGCACCAAAGCCAGGTCAGGGCACTGCTGCATTGCAACTGTTTCTTGTAAGGCTTCTCCGTTGTTTCTGGTGGTTCTTGTTATAGTAATTCCTGTAACACAAATCATGGCTTACAACAGTTTAAAGGCACATTCATTACAGTCTTCACCCCTGGTCCTTTTGTGCTAGGTTATTGGGTTAACATTGCAATGAACTCCTCCCCTTGTCCAGAGCCTGGCTACAAAAAGGGGTTCCTGCTAGAGCCTGCCATTAGTGTAATCCACATCATGGTCCTCCATGGGCTTCATGGGACAGCCTGCTTCACCATGGTCTTCACCATGGTCTGCAAGGGAATCTTTGCTTCCCCTGCTCCAGCATGGTCTTCCACTGACAGTCCTCTTTGAACTTCTCCAGTGTGGGTCCTTCCCACGGGCTGCAGTTCTTCACAAACTGCTCCAGCATGTGTCTCCAGTGGGGTCACAGGTCCTGCCAGTAAACCTGCTCAGCACGGGGTCAGTCCTCCTTCAGCATCCACCTACTCTGGCATGGAGTCCTCCATGGGCTGCAGGTGGATCTCTGCTCCATTTTGGACTCATTCACATGTAACAGTACCTTCAACTCAAGTTCACATCAAAGCTCCTGTCCAGTACAGGAACATAGAAAGCAGCAGCAATACCCTGGCCACCTGCCAGCCCTGGTGCATTGCTCTGGCTGTTATGAGTATGTTCCCAGGAAAGGAATACAGGAAGCTGATAAGTAGTATGGCAAGCAGTGAAAGCAACAAGCACTAGATTCTGATATACTGTCAGGAAAGCAAGCCCCATGATAAGCACAGGGGCCTGCTCATTACTAGCTAAACAGCACTAACAGCTATAAATTCAATCTAGTACATCCCAGTCAAATATGTCACTGTCTCAAACCCTTCAAGTCCAAAAATAACAAAGGAAATGGCAGCCTTTAGAGACACTGAATTCTTTTTATCTGCTATTTTTCATCCTTAGCATTGACTTGCTGCCTTCTGAATCCATTTTTCAGAGTATTGGCTGCCTTTTTGTCACCTTTTTTTTCCATTTTTTTTTTCTTCACTGTGTATGGCTGCAGAGTCTTGCGGAAGCATTCTGGGTAGTACAAATATCTCTGATCTTTTTTCCCTTGTCTTCATTTTTAGTGATGGTGAAAGCTAAGGTGAAGGACTTTTTTACGTTTGTGAAGTAATCAAGACTACTACCTTTTCTGGGTGGAGTTAAAGTGGATGTGTGAGCTCAGGTAGAGCACAAGGCTGGCACAAGGGAGGCACACTGTTTTCCCAGTCAGGGGCCCAGAAGGGACTGGTCTGTTAGCATTGCAGCTGGCTGTCTTTAAATGATGAGTTACCCACTTGGCATGAATCCACAGCAGAGTTCAAGCTGTTGTCCCTCTTGGCCTATTGAAGTGGCTTAAAACTGGTTTCGTATGATGTATCACTTGCGGATTATAAGGATTAGTTTGTTTTTAATGGAAATCTAAAAAAGGAGCAAGCTTTCAAAAGATGTTTTTACTTAGGTTTTTTTTTCAGTCTTTTTAAGCTTTGAATTTGCGCTTTCTATCTGTATTCAAGTGTCTAAATGATGTTTAAAAGGCACATACAACGTAAATCAACTCTCTGGCTCTTAGGGTCACTGTTGTCTCAGATAGCTGTACAGTAAAGTCTGCATTTGGATTCATCAGACCCTATTCTGTTGCGTGCATTATTGCACTTCCAGTTAAATTCCGCGTTTGTGAACAGTGATGATGAAAGCCTCTGAGTATACAGGAATGCCTCATGGCCTCTGCCAGAATGAGAGAAGGAATTTCAGAATTGCATAAGGTATAAACATCAGCTGAAAGGCTGTCTCATTTTTACGCCTCTCAGTTGTGCAGTTCATTGAACTAATTTTTGCTGTTGGGCAATGAATTGCTGAAGCTCAGTGAACAGCTAGAACATCTACATATATAAAAAAAATTAAGTCATTCTGCATATGCTTTAAGAATAGATTTTATTGGATATATGGCTGCTTCAAACTTGTATTTCGTAAGTACTTTCCATAGGTAGTATTCTTCAGAAGCGAAAAAGATAGTCAAGTTTCAAACTACTATAGAAATCTTTCTTTATGTCTACATGGCCTGCATATGTCTGACCCAGCTGAGATTTGTGAGATGTGCAGTGTGGTGTTCTTGACTTGGGGAAGTGAATGTATTAAATAAGACAAGTTAGACTTGTTCTTCACAAGTTACACTTGTAGATAAAAGCAGGCATTTTCTGACTTTGTGATGGATGCTTTTGAAGCAGAACTGCGTCATATCTTGTGTGTAAGTAGTGGATTAGTTCTAATTAGTGTCTTAGTCTTAGAAGATACCACTAGCTACGCTTGTTTCTGTTACTTTGAACAAAAATACAACCCAACCCAACATCCCCCCTATTTCTTAGCAACCTGAAATCAAGCAGCAGCAGATACTTGCAGTAAAAAAACCTCCACTTCTGATGGAGTTTGGCATTTTATTTCCTCACACATCTGTTTCCTTAATGTCTGCTGTGCAAGTTTGCTAAAGATGTAAATGTGTATTTAATCTTAAATACGTTAGTTAAGATAATTGCACATTGAGAAGATGTTTGATTATTTGTATACAGACATCTCACAGTAGTCACACCTACAGGGTCTTTGCCATGGCATATGGCAGCAGTAATCTGGATTGTTTATATATATATAAATAAATATATTTCTGTCCAAGTTATAAACTGATGCAGGTGTGAGTTTGCTAAGATAAACTGTGCAGTTGCATTTCCACCTCTGTTCTCTGTTAAATGCTCAACTTCTAGGTCACCCTGTGACCATGCTTGTCTTTGCTTTTACCCCTCTCTTACTTCTACCTTTGCTTTCCAGCATTCCAATTCTTTATCCTCAAAATCCAAGCACGTTTTAATTTCTTTTAGTTTGCTTAAAAAAATTGTAACTCTGATTCGCCTTCTGTTTTTTTATTCCTTTATTCTCTGGATGTAGAGTTGCTGTCTGGAGTTCTTTTATGTTGTTTTACAATGCACATACACATCTCAATTTCTGTGAAATTGAATGTTCTTGCTGCCATGTCTATTGGCTTCTCGTCAGCCAGTATTGCTGTCTTACAAGGCAAGGTGAAGTGGGGATCGAAATCACTTCATTTGAACTGGAGGAAAACTAGAACTTGTTGAGTGTTCTGTATAATGCATCACAACATGAATTGCTGATCAGTTTTCTTCTCACTTTTTCCACACTTTCTCACTGTTGGAGTTTGCGCCTTTGTCATGGTTTGAGTGTTGCTGCATTTATGTTTATTATAAATTAAAAGGAGTTTTATGTTTAAAAGTGACCTTTGTGGCACTAGCTGATGTCATCGTCTTCCAGTTTTGCCTGCTGAACAACATAGAACATGGTGTAATGTTTAAAAAAAAAAAGAATTCTTCATCATGGGTTAAGTAAAACAGTGTTCATGTAAAGTATTATGCATTTTAATTGGCAATAGACAGAAGTAGCATCTAGAAAGATTAGACATTAGAACTTTGAAAATCCACAATGTCCTCTGTGGTCTAGACTCTTGATGCCTGAATGAAATGAGGCTGGGGTGTCCCAAGGCTCAATCTCTGGACTGGCTGGAGTAGAAACGATTAGAAGTCAGCCAGTCTGAGTAAAGTGGCTGTGAGCTGGACAATAAAGAGCATTTGTTTAGATCCCTCTGCAAGGCCTCACATGCCTTACGAAGGTCGACGACACCTCCCATTACAGTATCACTGGCAAATTTGCCAAAGGTGCATTCAACTCCTGCATCCATATCATTGGTAAAAATACTGAACAGCACAGGCCCTAGGATTGAGCCCCAAGGAACACTGCTGGTCATGAGCCAGATGCAGCTCCGTTCACTGCAGGCTTTGGAACTCTGCCCTTTCTTCATTCAGTGCACTGTGAACCTGCACATGCCACAACTTGTTCAGGACATGGTGAGGGACGCTATCAAAAGCCTTACTAAAATCTGGGAAAAGTACATCTACCGCCTTCCCTTCATCCACTAGGCAGATGACTTTATTGTGGAAGGATAATAATTCAGTTAAACATACTTTCACTTTGTGTACTCCTGTTGACTGTTCCTGATGGTTGTCTGTAGTTTCCTGGGTCTTTCCTCATGCCTTTCTTGTACACTGAGATAGTGGCTAGTGTCCAGTCAGCGGTGACCTTCCCAAACCTTTGGCAGATGATGGAAGGGTCCTAGTGTAACATCTACTACCGCCTTCAGTGCTCTGGGGTCAACCCCTTTTGTTAAGCAGTTTTGTTTGTATAATAGTACACAAAAGTTAAATTTAGTAAGGCTAACTACACTGTACCTTAAAACTGCATATTTGAAGTAACATTTGTGTACTTGACACCTCTTCTGTCAACTTGTCACCTTTTTCTTCATGTGGTTGTGAATTTGATGATTGTGTTTCTTTTTTTCCAATAGCTGAAATACCACTTTTGTACGTACTAAAGCATAAACCACAGAACCATTTACGGAGTATCTATGTTACATGTATCAAACCTTGGTGGTTGATAGCATATCTCAGCCTCTGTTATTACTTTCAGTAATGTGTTATATTTGTGGTCTTGCTCTCAAGATGTGAAAATTGTTTACTTTCCCTCAAAATATCACAGAGTGAAGTTGCAGCACTTGCTTTGTGAACAAGCAGCAGCCTAGAGCAGATCAAATATGTGTTACCTGTCAACATTTCATACAAGCTATATTGAGATTACTAAAGATGACAAACTAGGCATTGAGAAGCTGAGAAGTAACAGTTAAAATTGGTTGAGTGACCTTCATTTCTTTTCTCTGCCTGTCATGTGACAGCCTTCAATAGTTACAGGATCCTGTAATTTTCCTTCCCCTGCAGCTACTCCCTTGATATCCCTGTGTCACTGTGTTTAGAAGAGATACTTACTGCACAAGGAAAACTGTCAATGCTGCTTTTTATTTTTGTGCTGTTTTACTACATTGCCTCAGATGCTGTTTACTAAGTGTACTTTGAATGCTTTCTTAAGCTATAACTACATTATAGCTTCAGGGTTCAAATTCCTTACAAATGTTTGTAATACATTTTTCTCATCACATGTTACTGAAAATACTGCTGGAGTGGTAGAAGTCATTGTTAGAAATTCATGTTGAATTCAGGCTTTCCCCAGCAGGCCTGTTGTCTTTTGGCCTTGACAGTCCAGCTTTGGTATCTCCCCCCTCACCCTCCACTTGCTCCAATTGAATTTCTGAATGGAAAGAGAAACCTACAGGAGCTGGGCTAATCTCCTCTAACTTGAGTAAATTCATACTATCTGTCTTGCTGATATATCTGTAAAATACCAACATAGGGGTATAATCATCACTGCTTATGAACCTGATATGGGCTATCTGATGGACTTGCTTTCAATGGGCATGGGTTATTTGACGTTCTGGGTTGCAAACAGGATGAAAGCTGTCTCCGTAGGAAAGAGAATAATAAATCATCTTACAGGGCTCTTATGTGTTTGTACTGGTGACAAACTAGTTCATTGAGGGGAAGTATTTGTGATTTTTATGCCTACCATGTTGCCTTTGCCAAATAATTTAGGACTGCATTTGACTGTTCTTGTACTTGAATAGGTCTGTTTATCAAAGTGCAATTGTTCTCTTTCTTCTAGTGCCTTCACCAACAGAGATTGTAGTAAGATCTGAAAATTTCAAAACTCTTTTGCATTGGCAGTATCCACCTGTGTCTGAAACTCCTCATTTTATTGTGGAAATCAAGCCTTACAAGTAAGTTCTTACTGTTTTGTCATTTCCTGTACCTTATATTCTCTGGAAGCACATAAAAGCAGTCAGTCATTAAATTTCAGTCAGTTTTGTGTCTATGCATTGAAGTCGTGTAGGGTGAAGGTTGTCCAAGTGTAAATTAAGGCAAAATTAAGTCAAATAACAGGATGGTTGAGGTTGGCAGGGACCTCTTGAAGTCATCTGTTCCAACCCCTTTGCCCAAACAGGTCGTCCAAGACCACATCCAGTCAGCTTTTGATTATCCCCAGGGAAGGAGACTGTGCAACCTGCTTGGGCGATCTGCCAGTACCTGGCCACGCTCACAGTTTTTTGTGGTAGGAAGTGTATTGTACAGTATTCTGCAATTGGAATTGTATTAACTATTACTCAGTCTGTTTTACAGTTTTGGTGACTATAAGGACATCTCAACTTGTGTGAACACTTCAGCTCATTTTTGTGATCTCTCAGGGGAAATATGTGAGCCTTATTCGTCTCACTGGCTTCGACTTAAAGCTATTATTGGGTCACAACAGTCTGAATATGTTGAGACAAATGAATTTATTTTGCAAAGGCATGGTAAGTTGCATCATAACCTAAACCTTTTAATTTTTTCCCAAAATTTAGAAAGTTAATAATTGTCCTTTTTTGTTGTATTATTGTGTCTCATTTGGGAATATCTTAAAGCCGCGATGAAACAAAACCTGATGCTTGATTAGTAGGATTCCATCGTACTTGTTAGCCTTGATGCTGTGGTATCTGAATATTTATTTCAAAACATCTAAAGGCAAGAAGGCGATGCTGGTGGTGCACTCTGTGAATCCTTTCCTTATTCTTCCCTGCTGTCCCAGACACCAATTTAGGGCAGGAAACTGTCACCGGACACTATGGACCTTTAGGCATGACTGAAGCAGTTATGCCTTGCTTGACACTATAATGCCATGTACTGACAACTTTGGTACTGGGTACTATCTAGAAGCTGTGGGATATCACTGTACCTGGATAACTAAGTTACCAATTCTTCATGTAAATCCTTTGGGCTACTTTGGGAAAAATCAGTCTTTCACATCAATACTGTAAAAGTAAATTTTGTGTCTAGAATCCAGGCCATTGCAGTACCGTGTGGCAGGCCCTGGCATTGCATGGACAGTGCAAAGGAAATGCAAGAGAGTGAGGAAAGACCAAGAGAATTCCTCTCATGCTTGCTCCATTCTCACCATACACCTTTCAGGCAGAACTTGGCCCACGAAATTCTCTTACTAGTGCTATGCCTTAGGTAGAGCTTGATTTCTGCAATGCTGGAGCTGAAGGAGTGGAGTCCCTCTTTGTTTTCTGCTATGATTCCTTCCCCATCCAGTGGTCCTATGACTTGAAATAGGGGCTGCTTTCTAGTGTTTGACTAGGGGACAGAAGTCATGGTAATAATGCTGAGTTTGACAGTTTCCAGAAACTTGGTAGCCGTGTATGGAGAAAAAAGTCCTTTTCCCATTGAACAAGAAACTCATGTTCGGTCAGATCATTAGACACCAAAAATTCACAGAGGCCATTGCCATGGGAAATCAGGTTTCCAAAGTACTGTTCCTCAAGGTGAGATGTGTTTGGCTTTTTGTGTAGTCTTTGTTTCAGTACAATATTGTTTTTAGCCGAGGTGATTTATGGTGAGATCTAGTCAGCAGTATCATGTTTGGTTCTTGTTCATGTGTATGTAAAATTGCTGTTAGTCTTTTCTGTTGTCAGCTGAATTTTTATGGCCTTATGTATATAGGAGAGTTGAATTGCTTAACAGTGGAATTCTTCATGGACAATCTGTTTCATTTTAGAAGCCAATTCATTAATGTATCCAAATGCCTTCACTACTTCTAAGCAACAGACAGGTTTGCAATTTAACAGCATTGAAATAAACATGTAATTCTTCTCAAATCTCTGATGAAGTTTGGAAAGCTAACTATAAATAACATACTTTATGTTAAAAGCTTTGGCCTAATGGTGCTATGGTGCAATGTCTTGCAGGAAAAATAGGACCACCAAAACTGAATCTCTCAAGGCATGGTGATAAAATCGTGGTTGATATTTACCATCTTTTATTCCCTCATTCTTGTATTGAAGACATTTTTTTAAAGCTTGAGTACCTGGTGGCTTTTCGGAAGAGTGAAAATGAGGTAAGTTCTGAAAATAAAATCTCAGATTAAAAACACTTGTTTACCGTAAATGCGTAAACAGGAGATTTCCTCCTATGACAAATGGAGCAAACAGATACCAAGAACAAAGCTGAAATCCTAAAATGTTGAGTGCATTACTGTGAGATATGTAACTGGAAGGTCTGGATTTTAGTTGTCCAAATGAATGGTTTCTAAAAAAAATTATATTATTGCATTCGCTGTACACAAGATAGAGTTACTTGATTCCACACTATTGTTTGTACATACATGCTAAAATATTGGTAACTTTACTTAGACCCCTTTCACTTGTCTAGAGAGACCTTTCATTTAAGAAAATTACCTTTCAAGGTATTGATAACAGTTTATTTAGCAATCATGGAGGGTGAACTTGAGAAAAATTATAGTAGGTATGTTTACTTACAGTTACCTTTTTCATATGCATCCTGGTTCAAGTTTTATAAGTGAATTAGGAATGTGAATCTAGACTATGAACAGCACAAATTTTAGATGGAAAATAGCATTTTCTGATCAAATATAACATCTTAAGGTAGCCAGTAAGCTGATAGCTGAAGTTCACACAGCTTTTGCAAGGTATATAGGTAATGTAGGAAACATATGTAATAGTGTTTTAATGTTTTTGGAAGTGTTGGAAGGTGCTGTAACATTGTTCTCTCGAGTCAAATCATATAATGTGTCTTCTGGTTTTTCGCAGATTGAAGAGTTCTATGCAGACAACTGTACAATGGATAAATGTAGCCTCAACATCACAGTTCCTGCTGAAGGTTTTACTTACTGTGTTTCAGCAAAGGGAATTTTTGAAGAACTGATGATTGGCACCCCATCAGAGGAAAGCTGCATTCTTGTTCCTGTCGAGCAGACATTGAGTAAGAGGATTTTAAAACTGTAGTAAGAAAATACTGAATCTGATCAGAGATCTGATCTAGCAAGTATTTGAGGTCTGATATAGCCATGGGATGCCTATGGGAGAATAGAAAAACAGGGAAAGTATGATCATTCTTTTCCAGGTGCACTTTGACAGTTCTAAAGACCTTTGAAGATCAAGTACAATTTTCAAGTAGCCCTGACATTTTTTGGTGGCTTCTTCTGCTTCATTGGTATCACAAAACCTGTTTCCATTGCACCTGATCATTGGTGTAATAAACAAATAACAAATGAATCATTCACTGAGTTAGATGTGGTGGGTTTTGTGTCTTCTAACAACTCACTTTTTGCTCAGTCTCATCACTGTATGCAGACTTTTGAGTTTGAAGCGACTATAAACTTGTGGTCATGAAATTTGTCTCTTAAGATAACAAAAGGCAGCTAGTGACCCAACTTTATATCTCTGATAACTTCTTATGGAGTTTTTAATATTACTTTATTATGGCCTGAAATTTCAATAGAGAAAAGAGATAAAATTGATAGAAGCAGCTGTGCTTTTATTGTACACACAAGAATTACAGTATGAGTGAGGGGGAGGACATTAAGGAGAGTCAGACTAGTGGAATCTTACTGGTCAAAGTTAAGAATTCTATGTTTTGGAAAATTTCGCATTTTACTTTTATTGTACATAAACTGTGTGTAATTAGTTAATATGCTGTCACAGGGAAAATGTACAGATCTCTTCATCCCCATCTGTCATCTCTTAAGGAACAAAAAATTAGTTATAAAATTCCTTTGTTTCTATAAAAACATGATTATATTTATATAAACTGAAAATCTTCTGTCATGCTAATTTTTATTTACTCAGTAAAAGTTTAATCAGTTAAGTTTTCTTGAATAAGAAAAGGTAGTAAATCGACACATTCACGCATTACAGCTAAGCATTCTGAGCTACTACAATTTCTGAAGTTATTCTAAATGATACACCAGGAGCTTGTTTTTCCAAACTTCCTAGTAGATTTTGCTTTAACTTCTTAGGTGTACTATGTATCATCATTGTGTGTGTTATTGGGAGCCTGAGCGTAATCTTGATGGTATATTGTGGCTGCAAGAGACTAAGGAAAAAGGACATAAAGCTGCCTAAATCTTTGGTAAGTTCAGACTTCTTATCTGCATCAGGTTTTTAATATCCAGCTATTTAACTTGTATAACTACCACATCTTTATGCCTATCTCTTTCTTTGTTTGTTTGGGAATTTGGGGGTTTTTTACCATGGTGTAATAGATGTTTAGAATTTATGCCAGTCTAACATTCTGATAGCATCTGCAACCAGATGCCTTTTATTTTTTTTTAGAGATAGACTTCAGTCTGTTTTTAACTGAAGTAGCAGTAGTTGGTCTAGTTTGAGAATTTAGTTCTTAAAAACTCAATGTGTGTGTACCTAGGCAGGTTTGTGTTCTTCCTAGTAGCAGAGATACAGAACCACAAAGTCACTGAGGTTAGAAGAGACTTTTGAGATTTAGTTCAACCCTTTTGCTCAAGCAGGCTCAGCAAGAGCAGGTTACCCAGGATCATATCCAGATGACTTTTGAATACCTGCAAGGAAGGAGGCTCCACAGCTGCCCTGGGCAACCTGAGCAACCTGTTTAACCACCCTCACAGTTTTTCTTACATTCAAATAAAATTCCATGTGTTTCAGTTGATGCTCATTTCCTTTTGTCCTGTCACTGGACAGCTGTGAGATTCTTTTCATTTAATGGTAATATTGCAATACTGCTAACTGCTACAGTGTTCTTAGAGTTATGCAGAGTAAAGGGAGGGAGGGAGTAATAGAGCTGTAGGAAGAGGGAAGAACGACTAGGGGAAGTCTTTTCTCTCACTGAGCAGTCACAGGCAAGAGAGGTCAGCAGCTGCTCTATCTTAAAAGCTCCTTGTAGCTGTCCTTAGGAAACAGAGTGGATGTTCCTTAAAGAGCAGAAGCACTCCTTGGTTTCACATCAGGCGAGAGTGGAGTGTCTAACAAGTACTGTTATAAGGTCCTCCTGGTGTCCCAGTTAGTCACAGCTTAACAATCGCAGCTTTAAAGAACTGCCATGTGAGGCAGTAGTAAACAGTCATCAAAGGAAGTGTATCTTCTCAGTGGGTGTAGGAAGTCTCATAAAGCTTATAGAGAGAGTAGCCCATGATCTTTGATTCCATGTTCTTCAATTTCAAGACCCTTTAAAATGACCCCTCCATAGTGCAGGGCTGGCTCAATGCCTAGATCCCCCTGGACCCTGCTTTCTTTGGAATAGAATATTAGGAGGAGATTGCTCTGACTAAGTGGAGGTTAACAAGCCAGAGCAAGGTCCCTTTGTAATAAAGCAGTAATCTAGTCCATCAACCTGTGCAGCACAAGATGATTCATCTTGTTCTAAAATAATATTCACTTCTGGTCAGACAAAATGCGCTCTAAAATTCCTTTTTCTTTCCATGGACTGTGATGGAGCCATGAGACTAGTTTGGTAATAGCCGTTCACACTGCAGACTTCAAAAAATCAGATGAGAGAAACCTCTACAATGGAATCTGCAACTAGGCCCCAATATCAAAACACACGGGCCTGTAGAGACACTGCAGAGTTTTTGTCATCTTCACATCAGTATGTAATTGTCTGAATACGTAGTTATGTCCTACATGCACAGAAGAGTAATTTTTTGTGAAGTTCATTATAGCAAAAGATGGCTCATTCAGAACGACATTGTGCTCAATGGATCCGTAGTTATTTTGGCTTCCCAGTACCACTGTGATATCACATCTAAAGGATGCACAAGTAGAATGTGTGCTCCTTAATGCCTGTGAGCTTTCTGATGTGTGCTCCAAGTTCACGTTTGAGCTCACCTTGTAGAAACTCATTTGTGTGCCCATATGCTCATTTTACTGGGCTAGACGTTATCTTGCGATTCCCAGGTTCCAGTGTACCACAGTGTAGTTCACATTCTACATCATGCTTTATCGCTAAGGAGCTGAGGGAGACCTATAACTATTTATAAATATTGTTACCTGGGTGGTCAGGCACTGAGACAAGTCCCCCAGGGGAGTGGTCACTACCCGAAGCCCATCACTGTTCAAGAAACATTTGGACCATGCTCTTAGATGTATTGTTTAACTTCCAGGTTGCTCTCAGTGGAGTCAGGAGTTGGACTCTGATCCTTGTGGGTCCCTTCCAAATCAGGATATTCTTTGCAGCTCTGTTTTTTCTAGTTATACAACATATATTTTTCATCTAGAGAAACTGTAATCGTTCCTGTAAATTTTAACTTATACTTGCCACAAGTAATTGTCATCTTACAAGAGAGAAGCTGCTTCATTATCTTTTGCGAAAACGTTTTTTTTTCCCGTGAGCATCTATAGAGCAGTAACGTAGTCTTCTATTTGTAAACTTACACATCATTAGTGTGTTGTGAAATCATGCAGAGGCCATGCAGATTTTTGTCACTGTCCCAATAAGATTCGAAATGGACTTTTCAAACTCTCCTCCAGAAAATGTGCACCTGGAAATTATTGGGAATTCATACATGGATAAGTCCTTAGAAAAGAAAGTTAAGACAGAATCTGTTAATTACACTTAGTGTTACAGATTGCTTGGGAGATGTTATTTATCTGTATTCTTGAGCCAGGCTTTCAGCAGTATATCTCCCTTGTCTCTTGAGACAGTGAAAGTCCTGAAAGCTCAGGTGCTCTCATTGGAGACAGGAAGTTGTGTGAGCACCTGCATATGCCAGGAAATACTGCTGACGTCCATCTTAAGCTCACTGGCTGTCAGTTTGCCAGTATTAGATAACGCGAAAAAAAGAAAAAATATTAACTTACCTATGGCAAATACTTTTCTTGCAATAGCGACCATATCTTAATTACACTTGTTGCTTGAGATACTTTGAATGGCATTTCAGTTAGTGTAATAAGATGTGATTCTTATCTTTGAAGCTAGAAACAACTGTATGAATTGCTAAGTTGTAGTCATGACTCAGTGACTCTTAGAAAACCTTTGGTACTGGGAAATCCCCAGGAGTTTTTTCTTCTAATCGCTTCCTTCTTTCATGGCTGGGAATGGGAGTGCCTTTGCACCATCTTGCGTTGGTCAGGAACTTGCCAAGAGAAAAATGAGATTCCTTTTTGAGCAGTCTTGGATGTAGTTGTAGAGGGAATAGGTATTTTATCCTCAAACTCTCTAAGTATATTCACTGTGAAATGCAGGACCTGTATAAGAGTACAAGGCGATCCCTTACCATATTTTAGGACTGTGATTTTTAGAGCCGTGTGAAAATCCTAAAGGGACAGAAAGAAGTACTCATTGATTTAAGATGGAAAGTTGTAAATGAAGGTTTTAGCAATAGTTTCTTTAATATTTTGTTTTAATTCACATTTCTCAAGTATTCCATCTTACACAGAGAACTATCTTCTCTTGTCGCTTGCTGGGATTTTTGCTAGAAAAAATATAAATGCTGGTCCCTTCAAGGTCAGTGTTGTAAGCATGAATATCCAATGTTTTTTTAAATATCTGTATAAAGGGGTTTTAAAAATAGTACAATTATCCTACCAGCTGTTCTTAGCATTTTCAGTATCTACCCATTATTGACTGTATTCTGATTTTTGCAACTAACTTTTAAGCATCTGCATCTTATGAATTAGTGGTTTCCATGAATTCTCATGAAAATTAATCTGAATATTCTTCATATAGTATTCTGACTGTCTCCACATAACAGAAAATGAAGATCCAGATACACTGATGGCTGAATGGCAGCTAGGTTGTAGTGTGTCAGGAGCCACCTTAAGGGACTTTTTACAAGTTTTTCAATGACAGCCCTTGATTCCCCAGGGTTTGTCTCACCTTGGTGGTGCTCACACAGCTGTTTGTAAAACTCACTTAGATTACAAATAACCGCTCTCTAGGGAGTGTTTGTTTGGTTTCTGGTGGTTGTTGTTTGTTTGCTTGTTTTTTCTAAATTGCAATGGTTTCGTCAATCCAGCCTAAACCACAGTAGCATCAACAGATATCAGGGCTACTGAGGGGAAGGATAACAGAGCTGAAGTGAGAGATGAAGGCAAGTTCTAATGAAGTTAGCACACTGTGAAGGTATGAATGTGAAGCCTAAGTCTCACAACCTTTTGATCAGGGAAGACTCTTGAATAGCACAGTTAGATTTGATCGTCTGGTTTTGATGGCCCTCTCAGTTCTTAGACTAATACAGACTGGGAGGTTCTTTATGCCTGTTTGTAACTTTTCTTAACATTATTTTTCTTCCCCATTCTTCTTCCTACCTACATCCCTTTCTTCCTAATTTGCCTCAATCTGAAATTTCAGTGAGATTATTTTTTACAAAGTATCTAAAACCCAGGGATTGTGTATTTTATTAATAAATTTGCATATCTATAATACTTGATAGTCTGTGGCACATCTATATAGGGAATTACAAAATTTGGAAAAGGGTACTATTAATTAACTCTTTCTCCCTAGGCATTCTGTTATCTTTAGGGAACACCATCAAACAGCTGAAAATTTGCCCTACTTTGTTTTTCATATGTTTGTTTTCTTGAGAACTCATTAAAAAAAAATTAGAAGGGTCTAAACAGCCTGAAGGCATACCATAATTGCTTAAAACAAGCTGGAACCTGGCCATTGAAGGAATTCATATGATCACCCTGTGGAGGGATTTCAAAGCGAAACATTGAAGTTTGTTGCGGCATTTGAGGGAGTGCTTAGTGACACTGTAAAATAACTAGGAAAACTTTGTCATAGATACGATTACTGGGTATGTTGTCCTGAACACAGGCTCATTACCTGGTGTGTAGCACCAATTCATGCACTGAGGTGAGGTATTTCAATTTTTTACTCTAATTTATGCAAAGTAATGAGCTAGGTGGTAACCTACAAAAGGCTGGCTCACCGATCATCAAAAATTTACAGTATTTATAGGTTTTAACAAAAAAAGGCATCAGCAGTCATTGGTTACAGTTACATAACTTTTTATAAATTAGTACTTCACCCCCTGTTTGCTAGTTATCTCTCTCCCTTCGCATGCTGACTACTTTGCACGTGCAGTTCTTCTCTCCGTTTGAGTCTGGGGTCTGTTTTGAGTAGGTGGTCAGTGAGTTGGTGGTCACAATCTCTACTACCAGAATTACCTTTCCCCCAGTAAGGGGGGGAAAGTTAGCTCTGCTGACTTCACTCCTGGTAGCTCTCTTCCAGACAGCCCATTCGTCTCGGGATTGTCTTCCCTTTTCCTTAAAATAAAAGATTAGCTAAGCATACAATGTTCACCGTGCAATTGCTTAATCATACCTGTCCAGCTACAGCTACTGATTAACAACTAAAGTTTGATTCAAATCTTGAGGGGCTTGATATCAGGTAGACATAAAGGTTCTTGTGCCATTTTCAGTCTCTTTCTAAAGTTTGCTCCCCTCCCATTTGAGACAGTTGTCAGAAATTGTTACAGTCATTGTAAGTTACACTCATTAACTATGGAGTATGAAAGCTTTCCCTAGCCAGTTGAAGAGTATTATGTCTTTTTCTTCTTTTGCTATTTTCCTTTACATTGAAAACTTCAAATGACTTAAAATACAGCGGGTGACATGAAATGGGTTTGATCCTTGCAAATGTGTTTGCACAGAAAAAGCATTTTTGAGAAATTGCATAAAAGTTTCAATGAAACAGTTAGAAAACATGGATATAGGCTAATGACTGTGCCCGATTCTAATTTTGCAAATTTGTTTTGGGATTGCTTATAATGACCTTAAATTTGTATTATCAACTTGTATCTTTTTTTAACCTCTAAACTGAAAGTAATTTTTTTTTTTTCATTTAAGGTCAGTGTGATGAGAAACCTAAATAAAGACACCTTACTTATAAGGCCAAAATCGGAGGGAAAGTATATATCTGTAATAAGCTTCATGTCAGGCCAGTCAGCATTGCCAGTGAATGGTGAAGTAACCTTGCTGGAGATAGAGCCAGAAGAAGAAACTGTTAGTCTTAAGAATTCCGGCGAAGGAGAATCTTCTGTTCCTACCCCAGAGGCACCAGCCAAAGCAGAAGAGGAGTCTGTGCAGGAAACCACAGAGGAGGTATCTTTTGATGCTGATGAACAGAATTACAAAGTAAAAGAGAGTTATTTCATTTCTGACAGTAGCCAAATGGATATATGCAGTAACTCTTCAGGTACAGAGGTTTCTCCCACAGAAACACAGCAAAAAGTCATTCCAAGCAGCTGTTTCAAGTTTTCTGGCTATGACAAACCTCATGTTCCATTAGATATGTTGATGATAGATGTTGGTGAAGAACAGCCTGTGAATACTTACAGGCCAACTGAGTAACCAGGATAACCGAAGTGTTTAACCAGAGGTTTAACTCAGGAAAAACAGCATTACTGAAGATTATGGAAAATCTGGGTTAAATTGTGAACATCTGCAAGTTGTACTTCTTCTGATCCAACCAAAGTAACCAGTACACAAGTGAAAGTAGTGCCTGAAAATTGCATAAAAAATGTAGGGAAATTTCATAATAACCACTTTTAGCAGTGTTTTTGTATGATATAATTTAGTATTTCCTATTTGAAATAGTATTCTGTGCTTTTTAACAATACTCTACAGGAAACATACCATTAGTCGCTTCTGTTTCAGATCCTTTTCAAAATTAAGTCAATGAACACAGTGCTTAAGAAGTCCTTTATTTGATTATGATAGAGATGTGCAAGAAACATTTGAGAGTTTTTGCCATTATTGGAGGTGCCCTCTTCTTTTTTTATTAAATTGTCTTCTTTTTTTATTAAATTAAATGCTAATATTTCTTTTAAGGACAAGTATGATTATAAGCTCTTTCTGCATAATTTAAGAATTTGATTCCATGTTAAAGAAGTAGGGAGTAATGGCCATAAACTAAAAATACACAAAGTTGCACCTCAGCATGGGGAAGAACTTCCTTACACTGAGGGTGGCAGAGCACTGGAGCAAACTGCCCAGGAAGGTCGTGGAGTCTCCCTCTCTGGAGACATTCAAAACCCACCTGGACGTGTTCTGTGTCACCTGCTCTAGGTGACCCTGCCTTGGCAGGGGGGGTTGGTCTGGATGATCTCCAGAGGTACCTTCCAACCGGATTTCGTGACTATGGGAAAGAACGAGTTACTTTGTAGCTTAAGTCCTGTGATTAAAAAAAACCTACCTGTTTTTAAAACTGCTGTTATTTGAGTATGGCTACATCCATTTGGATCACCTAAATACATTGCGTAACCATGTCACATTCTGGATACTTCTGGAATGTATTAGCATGCTGGCTGATCATTATTGGAAAAAAATATCTAATCAGTAGTTGCACAAATTCTTCAGAAAATGTTTTCAAAATTCAAAAGCCTGTTTCTTCTGGGGCATATTTATCATGATTCTTAGAACAATATAATCCTTAAATAGAAATCAATAGGACTTCTTCCAAACATGTTTTCTAGTAGGTTGAAAATTATTACCATGTTTCCCCTTTTTATGATGTAACTCAGGAACTACACAAAATCACCTCCCTCTAAAGACAACAGAAAAATAATGTGTTAAGTTGTAGTTCATAAGCTATTGTCATCTGACAGCCTTCTGAATTCTGTAGTGTAGAGATTGTAGTTTTGAAAACTGAGGGATAAGGATCTTATCTTTTTATATTTTTTTAATAATTAAAATCCATGCAATCCATTTATTTACCCTTAGTCAAGATTTGATAGGTATTTTCTTTTTGTAGGATATGTTTACAGTAATTATTAATGGAGCTTAGTTCAGAACAAAAGGATGCTTTACAGATACAAGTTAGTCCATTTGTACAAAATTGTATCTTTGTTTTAAAAGATATTTTTATAGGTTTATCAGAAGTGTTAACATGTTAGAGCAGATGGTTTTGAAGGAAAACCAGTGTCGTAGTACTTCTGTCCTTATATTTCTCAGTGATATGAGTATTCTTAAGATGAAGTTAGCCTACACAGCAGTTTCTGGGCTTCTTCCTTTCCTGCATATATCAGATATTGACCACAATGGTACAAAAGATTTAAAGACAATAGCTATTTTTCACATCACTACCCACAGGAAGGTAACAGATTGCTTAGCAGGATTTTGATAATTATAGGAAAAGCCAAATCAAGCATGTGAATTTTGTAGTTATGCTGTAATGGAAAACCCGACTCAAAAGACTTCAGTATTTGTTAGCTGGCTGTGATTTGTTTCTGCATTATATTCAAACATAGTGAGACTGCCTTGCAGCTTTTTCAATGTCATGTTCTGGGTTGAGTTCCTAGAAGGCAATGCTCAGTGACTTACTGCTTGGGATCCATTAATGTGTAGGTATCTCCATGGCAGAAGTGCAGAAAACAACTCTCTTGGTATTACAAGAAGGCTTTTTAAAAATCAGCATTAATTTGCATTTGAAACTACAACTGAACTGACCTTTCAGTTAATTATGTGGTTTGTATCTGAAGCTTCTAGCTGTCTATCTGCTAACGAGATAGGCAGCTGCGTCTTGTGCGGAGCTTGGAGTTGATGTAATTTCTTTCTGGGTTTGGAGGTTTGTTGATAAATATGAACTGTAATAAATACCTCAGGACTTTATAAATGTCAGATAACTGTTTAAGTTAAACTTCGCTCAGAAGGGATATATAGAAACTGTGAAGTTACCTTGGTTTTGGGAAGAAGTTTCTGATCAGACAGTTTGCTGAGTATCTTCTTTGCAACTGCTCAGAGTATTATATCTACTTGCAATTAGTAGTTTGTTTTCTTTCTGTCAGTCTTGCCCCCCCAAAAATATATTGATGTTCTCCAAGAAGGGCGGGAATTAGCTGTAGTTCCATTTGATATATCTGCCTCAAAGCCAAGATCCTGTCAGAAGCATGTAATTTCTTGGAAAATTAAATTTACATTCTTAGCAGTGCATGTGGAAACCCTGGTGCTGCTAGGAGCTAAGACTCAGCATCTTAGATTTGTGTAAACATAAGAGATCACTAGGTGTTTTACATTCTGGAAGGTTCTCCTTTGCTGCCACACTGGAAGAGGAATGCAGATAGATGCATTTTAAAACCAAGTGACTGTCTCAGATTCTTTTCTCTTCCTCCTGCAATACAACTACATTGTACATTGTTCCCAGTCTTTCAAGTCATATGTAGTCATGTGTAAGTAAAACGACCCAGCCAGGAGCTAGGACGTAATTAGAAACAACAGTGTTAAGATCAATGAGATGAATAAGAAATGACACAGAAATAAATCATAAACATACGGGAAAAATTTGGCATGGCAGATAGTCACGTGTAATGGAAAGGCACTGTTATTTTGTAAGCTGAAAATCAAGGACAGTAACATGAGTGCTTTTTACTGTACCACATATATATATCTATACACATATGCACACAACTGACATTCTCTTGTAATATCACAAGGTTAAATGTATTTTTTAATGAAAATTCGTGAACGCTAATTACAAAAGCCCCTGAATTAGCACCATCCCTGCAGATCTGTCTTCTATGTACTGTGTACTTAACAAGTAGCCAATAGCACAAGAATAGTTTAGATGTTTAAATTGTTCAGGCCAGCTTACAGGTTTTATAATTGTGAAATAAAGTTCAAGAGTGCACAGAGCATGGGATTCTTTTATTAGCTGTGAGTACCTGAAAATGTGAGGCCACAGTGGGACAAGGATGTCTTTCCAGGTCATTAAGCTCTCTTTCTCCCAGTCTTGTTTTCAGCAGTTGGCAGTAGTGGTACTGAGAGCCTAAAAACAGGGCAAGTGCCTCATAGTATCTCTGTTAGAATACAATCCAGCAGCTTGCGGGGTGAGGACTTCTTGGGACAAGGAAATTGGAATGTCTTTCTAGCTACAGCTAGTTAGCTTTGCTTTTGCAGTTCTGTATTACCAAGTACCTGAGCAATGTACGTGTAGTTGGGAAGCTGTCAGGGAGTATTTATCTGTGCATTTTCACCTAATTAAGTTAGTTTATTTTAATAAATTAATATTATTGTGATGAAGAGGGGAGCTTCTGGGTATTTGTGCAGAGCACCTTGACATAGGATATGAAAGTGCCTAACATTTACACATTCAAAATAACTTAATATTCATGCCTTTTACAGACCTATCAGCTATTCAGTATGACACACTTAGAAAGTTTCACTACTTCAGACTTTTTCAGGTGATTTTTACTCTTGTCCTGACTGCTCAGCATTCCTCCCTTCCTCTCTCCTAAAGGCGATTTGGGAAACGATGTAATATAGGACTCCAAAATATCATATCCTGTGTAAAAGAAATTGCATCACAAAAATTTGGCCTAATGCTTGACAGCATTTCTAAGAACTTCTTCAGTGCTTGTTCTTGAGTGGGCATTGTAATTTTTTATCATTAGATCTACAATTAACAGTGAAGTAATGTGGCAGTACTGCGTGCTGGCACAGAAGCATCAAATCTTCTGCTTTTGTATGGTTTTCCACCTGAATCAGCAATGTAGTTTAAAAAAAATAATTCTTGTCAAATCTACTGACATCTGTGGAAACAAGACACTATGGAGGGTCCTGGTTGCCTAGAAGAGACATGCATATTTGTATGTAATGCTTCATTAGAAGATTGCAGGAAAAGAAAATTGCGTGAGAAGACCTGTTTTTCTCAGGGATAGGAGTAACCAGTTGCTCTGAAGTGATACCATCTAAACAGTTGAGTATTAATAAGTAAAAGATGTTGTACTTGATTCAAATTAATAGTTTCAGCGTGCCTAAAAAAAACCCAAAAACCCAAAAAGCAAAAACATGCAACCAAAACAACAAACCAAATACAAAGCACCTTTCATCTCATGAAATAAATGACTTGCATAGATTTCTTCAGTGTTCTTTTTATAATTTAGTCCTCTAACTATGAAGTCCTTGTTTATTAATACTCTATGTTGTCTAAATGGATGCAACCATTGGGCTGAAGTGTGTAATTGAAATGTTGTAAATACTGTACATTTGAAATGTTTTTATATGAAAATATAATCTCAGAAGAAGAATGTGTGTCATTGCCTCTTTGTTAGCTTTTGTTCTGAAGACTAAATCTGCTTTTGAAGATGGCTGAGTTCATGTTACTTATGTAGTGTATGCTTGAGCATTATTGAAAATCAAAACACTGTTTGAGGGAGATGTATGTGGCAAATATGTGTGCCTAATTAGATGTGGCCAGTTACTGTATTCTATTTACCAGCTAGATCATCAGCTTTGCAATTTCTTTTTTGCCCTTTGACCGTGTTGATGCAGCCTGCAGTAACTTCAGTCCAGTTCTGTTGCTTGAGCCTGGAGACTCTCCTTATGTTCTATTTAAAAATTATGGACAAGGATTATGATTAAATGGTTGCACCATTTGAATGGATTACTTGCTGCAGAGTGAGGAAAGCTGGCCTTCCTTGAAACTCCTACTAACAGAAATTTAAATGATCACAGAAGTCTTATTTGTGTCATGTTTTTATTTCTACTGTCCAGCCATACCTTGAAAGAGGAAAAGCATTACAAACAGATGATGAGCAGGCAAACCAGGTGGTTCTGCCAGCCAGCTCGCTATGTGTTCTGCAAAATTAATCCTGCAGTTGTCAAATATTTGCAATGTGCACAGTAGAATGTCAGGTCTGATCTGGCTTTTTCCTGTGCTGACATCATTTGAATAAGACAGACTCAGAAAGGCTGCTTAAACAACTTATAGCCCTTCAAAAATACCCTTCCACAGAGAGTAAATACAATCCTTTCAGATTGAAAATACAGAGTGAAAAGACTACAAATAAATACACTGTATTTTCTTTCTGGGTATGACTGTTTTGTGTTACGTTATGAGTGTTTTGTGGTGTATTTTGCAAATTAATAGCAGCTCATTTAATTATAGGAAGGGTGGAGGGCACATGCAGTCCCATTCCAGAAGACAGGAACCATAAGTAGTGTTGTGTGCTTTCTGTTACCAGGTTTGGTAGAGTTGAGGCCTATGATGACCTGCTGCAAATGTGATTAAATGTGAGATAAATTATAACAAGTAAGGAAGGGTTGCAAAAGCTTGCCTGAATGGCTAGAGGGCAGTGGTAGCAAGGAGGTAGAGAGCACCTTTGCCATTCCTCAGTCCCTTTTTCCATGTGGATTCATCCCAGGTACCAGTCTGACCTTATATCAGCTTTTAGTATAGTACCAGTTCCTACCTGTCCCCGAAATCTGAACAGAAGTTGCCATAGAACACTGTGAATTTGGGTTGTGAAAGTACAAAGAATTACTTTATCTGTTGCTTCAGGGTGCACAGCAAAACTAGCAATTTTATTTGACATACACAAAACTTCATTTCCTCTAAGAAGAATATGGAGCAAAGCTTTTTGTCATTAAGAATCACACGGTGATCAAAATTTTCTGGTTAAATGGTCACATTGCAGTAGACTCGAAACTAACACCTCTGAGAAGTGTGAAAACCAATTCCGCTAAGTGTGGAGTGTTCTGTCCTGAAAACCTCAGCACGCTGATTCCTGAATGCTCAGGAACTATATCTACACAAGATCTGAAACATTGTATTTATTAAAAAAAAAAAAAAGGCTTGTAAAACTACAGTGTGTATATTCAATAGTAATTTGGAGATAGTGGTGGTAAAGACTTGTTAAAATAGACTTCTGGTCTAGAGTTTGTGCTCCTTGGATGATAGAGAGATAGTACTGAGAATTCAAAACACAACCACAGAACTGAGCCACAGGCTAGAACATGTGATGCTTAAAAACTTCTACCTGCAGAAGAGATGAGTGGAAGGCAGGGTTTTTTTTTTTTATTTCTGATGGTTTTTTCCCTTGGCCAGGGAAACCCCTGGAGCTTGGATCTTTCCAAGGTTTATTGCCCAGAGTGGCTACCAGAAGTTTTGATTACAGATGTGGAGACAGGCACTCCAGTTCTTCCAGTTTTCTTCTCTGAATGCCTGCCTTCCAGCCTCTTGGCCTTCTTGTGCTGTGTGATGAGTCAGCCTGGTGCAGTCTGCAGACTAGACAGGACTGTGGTGATCAGGTGCAGAGATTTCCAACCACTGCCTACAAGATGAATGTGTGAGTCGTGTCCTACCCACACTACTGATGTTTCAGGAGTTGCCTCAGCTGCCTCTGGTGGCAGTGTGTCAGAGAGAGCGAGAATTTGCACTACCAGGCTTTGAGCCTTCCTTTCTTCAGTAGGTGGACCAAGAAAGCATGAGCAATGTTTGTGTTGTGCCTCTCCAGACTTATCTGGGGTTTGTACTGGCTGACTGAGCACCTGGTACCTTTCCTATACTATTAAGATTACTTAAGCAAACCCAACAAATTGTGGAATATAAATTCCACGTGTCTCCAAGTTAGTAGTTTTTTTGTCTGCAGATAATTTGGTGAGGGATCCACAATGTAAAGAAAAGTGGGTGTTTTCTCAATGTCTTAAACAAACTACAGCACTCCTTATGAGTAGAAAAAATATAATCATATGGCTTTGCAAATGAGGAAAAACTGACAATTTTTTAAGGGAACCTGTCATTTAAATAAAATGTTTTGAGCTGTTGTGGGGTTTCGTATTAATTTCAGTTCCTAATAAATGTTGGTGTTGGCTACTAACTTCCTGGTGCAATTCAGTGTCTTGCACATTCTTAAATAAATACTTCATGTGCAAATAATGACTTGCTATTTGCAAGCCTTCAGCAGATCTTCATCTTTGATATGTTCAAATGTCTTACTATCTAGGTGCAGCTACAGCATTGGGAATTTCTAACTGTAATCTTTAAGATGTTGACCCAAGCCCTTTAACAGTGAGTGCTGAAGAGGTTGTACCTGCGGCAGAAAGCAGGGAAAGCACGCACTGTGCAGTGAAAGTCTACCTCTCTTCCTCAGAAACTTCTCTGTGAGAACTCATGTGATGCAATGCCTCTTCCTTAAAGAGCAGGAAAGAAAAATGTGAAAAGTCCCTCGTGCCTGACTGTGGGTGTTTACTTTCTTTTTTTTTTCTTGTGTGTAGTGTAGAGATTCATTTTCCCTGTCCCCACTGAGCTGGTGAAGCCCTGCTGCACCTGACACACCAGAAGAGGCTGAGGGAGCTGGATCCCTTCAGCCAGGAGAGGTGGCACTCAGGAGAGATGTAACTGCAGTAGCCAATTATAACAAATATTTGCAGAAATGAGGGATTTTTCTCTGAGGCCCCAAGTAAAAACACAAAAACCAGCTGTCATAAATTGCAGCAGGGGAATCCCACTAGGATATGCAGGAGAAAACTCACACTGAAAGTGATTAAGTATAGGATAAATCTGCCATTAGCCCTGTGCTTAGCATTAGGCTGGACTGAAAGACCTCCAGAATCCCGTCCTAAGACAGGTTTTCCTGTGAGTCCACACTGGCTGTTTAGAAAAGACTGAAAACTCTAGCTCCAATTGTGGATAGTCTTTAGGTCCAGAGCAATGTGAAGTACTCATTTTTTTAATTTTTGTGTGAAATGCTACACGAGAGAAACTTGCCTGGCCTCTGCCAGTTACTAGAGGTATTTTCTGTATGCTTTGGGAATTTCTCCCCTTTCTTCATCCTCCCGCACACTCATTCAGGTATGTAAGGAGAACCCACCCTCATATCCACTGCAAATATCAGAGACTCACAGCCAAAGGTCATGCTACAGTAACAGTTTCAGGGTTAAATTGTCTCCTCTTATGTGTGGAAAATAACTCATTCAAAGGAAAAAGAAAGAAAAGGAATAACCAAGGAGATGGTGCCATGAAGTGGGATGAATCAGGCAACTTTCAGCAAGAATGTACTTGTGAAATGTGCCTGTGAATGTACTTGTACTTTACCTCTGTGTAGCAATAGTTTGTCCTCAAGAGAAAAAAAGCTGTTTTCCCAGCATTCTGATAGGTTTTAATTCCAGGAATGGAAAAGATCCTCATGCCCAGAGTTCTATATTGGTTCACAAAAACATCAGTTCTGCTGTTTCACAGTAGTTTGTATCAAAAAGGTGCTTCAGTGTGTAAGCTAGGATGAGCTAATAGCATAACTACTTATGTGGATTCTGCTGGAGAAAGTAATGTATATTGACTTTTCATTTCTTCATAAAGTTCAGAGCACCCTTAATATTGTTTTTAAAAATTCTTGTATTTTAAATGGCATTGCAGTGCACATCATCCTGTAGTGTTCCTCAATTTTTTTTAAAATTTACTATATACATATTCTATGAAACTCGAGACATATGTGTCTGTACGTATCTGTATGTGTGTTTGTGTAGCTGGTCCTTCTTTGACTGCAGTAATTTTTATCACAGAAAGCCCTGAAGCAGCATGACTGAAGCTGATGAGTAGCACAACATTACAGATGCTGATAACCTGCTATAATTACAATAACAACCAAATTTATATAAAGAGTTACCAATTAATGCAGAAAGCTGAGCCCAGTTGCAGATAAAACACTATCAGAGTGCAATATGCATGAAACCATGAGTTTTTCCATGTGACAGGTGTTTCTTGCCCCGTTTCACCACGTGGCAGAGCAGTTTTTTTCTGAGCAAAACCCACCGGCGCCAGGCAGGCTGGCCCTCAGTTCTGCATTCGTAGGAGGAGCCACCATCAAAAGCAATTTTGGCAAAGGTCCACACTTCAGCTCCTGGCAGTGAGCTGTTACGTGGGGTATGGGAAGGTGTGTTGGTACTATTCGAGTAAACAAATACCTGATCTGTGACTAAACTTTGATGACCTTTCAGTCTAGTGATTGGTTTGTAAAAGTTCCCTATTCCCGCACTTGAGCTCGTATAACATGACGAAATACTAATTGCATTTGGTGTGGGGAACTACTTAAAGGTCACTGAGTTTTGAAAATGTGTTTGGGAAATGAATAGATAAAAAAATTTACAGCCAGGGTAGACTTTCTGCTTTCTGCCTTCATTTTGGTAGGTGTTTTTTCACTTCATTTCTTCTCAATTCTTTAATTCCCTTAATTGGTTATTCAAATTAATTATTCATAATTAATTATTCATAATTAATCATTCCTAATTAATTATCCCTAATTAATTATTCAAAGCTGCACAGTTAGCATTTTAGTATATCTGCTGCAGATTTAGTGCTTGTATAATGAGGTATAGGTGATCAGCTGAACTGAGAGCCTGTGCCCATCTGTCTGACCAAGGTCAGCTTCTTGATTAGATATTGTCCAGTTTGCTGAATATAACTGGTTGCTTTTAAATAAAGAATATCTTCATTTGAACCAGAACTTGCACTTTTTCAACCTGACAAGTGTTTTGCCTCCACCTTTTCCCAAAGCAAAGATGATTCTCTGACAAATTTTTTTTGTCTGCAGACAGATGGTCTTCACATCCATTACTCCTTTGGTGGGAGTTGTTACATAGTGCTGCATTAAGTCATACAAAATTTGCATTTTTCTCTTCTTGCTTGTCATCTTGAGTTTGCAAAAAGAGAATCCTGACCTTTGCCTAGTTGTACTAGTGCATGAGCAGCTAAGCACTGGTGGGTGTCAGCATCGGGGAGTTTTCTGAGGGAAGCATGAGGGGCAAGGCCGGGCAGGAGGGCCAGCAAGCTCCCAGCTGCCTCCAGTAGCACCACATCCACCACCAGCAACCGACTTGGCTGAGTTTTCCATACGTCCCAGGAGCACAGAACTCCTCTCCCACCAGGCAGGAATGCACGTGGCATTAAAGCACTAGTAAGCACAAAGTGAGATTTTTTTTTTTGTCTGGGAGCCTTGGCATCTCCAGCCCTGGGGTCAAGCTTGTAGGGATGCACATATTGGGAAGACAGGATTCAGATGACAGCGCTGACAAATGCCAGTATTTGTGCAGTTAGTGTTGCAGCGCACCTGCACCAGTTGGGGCATATGACTGGCAGTCTGAAAGTCCAACCCAGAGAGGCACTTTGGCCCAGTGGGCTGGGCTCACCTTCTCATTCCCTGCTAGGAGGCTGGTAGTCTCGCAGCCTCCCATCATCTGTCCAGCAGCCCATGTGGTGTGAACGTGCTGCCCAACAGCCAGCAGCAATTTCACAGCCCCTCATTCTTCTAATGATACACTCCTAGATGATGTCCTGCTGTGAACACACCTGCAAACTCTGTCTCTTGCATTTGACCCAGAGACAGTCCATCAAACCAGAGGACAACCCTCAGGTAGGTCTTTTATATGTTTGCAGCAAAATTTCTTGTGTTCTTCAGCTGTGAGCAACTAGTGAGCTGAAATATAAATAAATAAATAAATAAATAAATAAATAGATGAATAATTTAATTGATAAAAAGGATGGCAAGCAAGCCAGCTTCTGTGATAAATTTATGGGATAAAACAATACTGACAGACATCATTTGGGAATTAGTGTCTTTAAAAAAGGACCTTATTTATGATGGTTTGCTTCATAATTAGTTCCAAACTTCAGTGTGACCACAACTGCCAAGTAAGAACAATTGCTCATTTTTAATTTAGAGCAACTCATATGTTTTCCAGCTAAATTAAACCAAACCGGGGAATTTGGGAAACCACTGAGGGGAAGTCTGGAGTGGTTAACAATTACTTCCTCATAAGACATGCCCAAGAGGAAGAGAGGTGCTTTTCAGTCATGGAGCTGCTCTTCTAAGCATGAGGAGGATCATGCTTTCCTTCCTCTGCTTACTGATGCACCTGCTTCAGGATGAGATAACTTGTAAGTAAGGGCTTTTCGCTCTTTTCCTATGTGGGGAGGGGGGAGGGGGCAGGTCCTGTTTTTGAATCTCTGGATGAGTCAAGAAGTCTCTGGATCTTTTGCTGGGTTTTAAAAGTCTGGTCACTTTCAAATTGGTCTGTTATTTTATCTTTCAAGGTTCTGAAATACAGATAAAACAAGCATGTTACCCGTTAGATTTTTTCGTGGCTGTGTTACCAGTTTCAGTTCAACCAGTACAAGTCTTACCAGATTTTGTGATATGCCAGGGAAAAAGATGCTGTCATCTAGGTTGCAAAACCCAGAAAAATACTAGGATTTGGATGTTTCAGAGAGGTTTTTAACTGGTTCTGTCAGTAATATTGCAGTTTGAAAACAGATGACCTTAAAAACTGTCAGACAGCTTTTCCAGTAGTGCAGACAGGAAAAGCGGTGAATCTCAGGTTATTGTTTATTAGGCAAGAGCTGGTAAATGCAACTGTGGCAACAGTTAAAAGAACTATAATCTCTTCAGGTTAAAGCTGAACACAGAGGAAAGAGCATTTGACTTTTAACTACTGAATGGGCTGCTTACTGCAGACTCTGTGAATAGATCCAAAGGATTTGTTTCCTGGGATGTGCATGAGGCATCTTACACAGCAGTTAACTCACTAAGGAAAAAAACCCACAAAAATTTAAAAAAAACACAACCAACCAACCAAACAAAAAAAAAAAACACCAACAAAAAAACCCCACCCAGACAGTCCACATAAAAGTGTTCCTTTCATAGTACTAAATGTACTTGTTCTGTAACTACTAGATCTCATGACTTGGAACGTTTTGATCGTGACATCCAGGAGATTTAATTTCCCTTTGTGGTCTGCTAGTCACGAAACCAAATGGTCTATGGCAATACCCCCATGATTTCAATACAGAGGAGCGTGTCTGGGACAAACACGTTATGTTATCATTCCATATTATTTGCAGCACTTTCACTTATGGAAAACCAAGACCTGCAAGACTCGATTAAGCCACAGAAGGTAGAGTTTCGTTCGTTAAACTTCAACAGCACTTTGCATTGGCAGCCTGGGTGGGCCAGAGAGGCAAGAGACACACTCTACTTTGTGCAGTATAAAGTGTAAGTACCCGGGGAACTCCAGCCTCCCACTGTGCCAGGGCCTATCCCTGCTGGCCACATCAAAAGGATTTCTCAGGTGACATGGGATATTCTCCTCATACCTGGGGAACAGCCATGTCCCGCTTGGCTGCCAGCTCTCAGTTGTCACTGCACTTATCAATTAATATCCCATAAGGTGCAGCCAAGCAGCATGAGGCAGACAAGGAACAAGCACCTCCAGGAATATGCTCTGTATCCTCATTGCACCACAGAGTTGAAGAAAAATGTAGGTTGCAGGGGACCTCTGAAGGTCACTGGGTCCAACAGCCTGCCAGAAGCATGTCTGGCTAGGTGAAGTTCTTCTGCAATAGGACATTAAAGGTGTTTCAGTGGCCCACCTTGCCCACGACAGTGTCTCAGGGTGCCTTGGATGGCAAGCTTGAGGCAACACTAGGGGCTGGTCCTCAGGGTCTGCTCCCATCCCTGGTGCACCTGGTGAGTGCCTGAAATCATCATTGCCCTTGAGAAATTACCTGGTGAAATCTGGCATTCTGCTCATTGTTGAACACACTGGCTAAGCCAAAGCTTGCCTGCCTCTTCCACAGGGCAAGTAAGAGGTGGCTTCCTACAGGGCTGGTGACCCATGTCTCTGCTTTAGGTATCTTTCAGAAAAAATGAAAACCTGTAGCTCCCAAATGCCCATGAAATCAACCTTCTCTGTCATCAAATTGAAAGCAGTAAATTTCCACCGGTGTCAGTGACACTGAAGTAAAACAGAGGCTAACAATCTGCATGGACCCAGTTGGTGATAGCTAAAGTTTACATCCTTCCTTCTCTTTCTCCATAGTTATGGGCAGACCACATGGCAAAACAAACATGACTGCTGGGGAATTCAAAGCCATGTCTGTGACCTAACACATGAGACCTCTGACATCCGGGAGCCTTACTATGGAAGAGTGAAAGCTGCATTGGCTGGTGTCTATTCCAACTGGAGCCTCAGCTGCAGATTCACTCCCTGGCGAGAAAGTAAGTGCAAACATATGGGTCTCTCAGAAAGGAATTTGATCTTCTAAGGCATGGAATGCATAATTTCTGCTCACAATTTGCAAGCATCCTTTTCTAGCTACAAAGCTGTACGTAAAGAAGTTTTAAGTCAATTGCTCCCAGGTGAAGTGTTATACTAAAATAATTTTTCCCACACTTGAAAGCCAACCAATTATGGCTAAACGGGCACTTACCAATAGTTAGGAGATCAAAAGTGCCCAGCTCCCTTTAATTCACATTGCCCTCTTCCTCAGGGCATGGAACTACATTAATTATTTTCAGCCAGTTTTCAAGCTGCTAGAAGGACAGGATATGAGATGGAAAAAAGGAAACATTCCCGTCTTGGGGCAAAAAGAGAGCTGAGTGCTGTGTGGCCACTATTCTCCTCACATTTGTGTGTTTTCCTCACTTCAGCAAAGGACATAGAACAGACATGTGCCAAGCTTTTAGTTAGTTCTGTCATTATAATGCCACAGGATGTTAGAAATGGAGAGCTGTCCAAACACTGAACAGTACCAGTCTACCTACCCAAAAGTTCCCTATGAATTAACCAATTTTCCCTCACTGGTCAATGCAAAATTGAATTGTCAACGTGGGTGACTTCACAGCTCTGCAGTGCAAACCATCTTGAGCCTCCTGCACAAATGAAACCACAAGCTTTGATATAAAGAAGTACCTTGCAGCAGCAATAGCCCATCTTGTCCTGTGCCACCTCCTCCTCCTAAAGAGATGTATGGGGCAGCTGCTGCCCTGTCTCCCCACATTTCTGGGGCTGCACACACAGGTATGCAGGCACTATCTTGAACCCTTAGCTGTGTTTAACCAAGCAGATTGCAAAAAATTTTAACGTGATGATGGAAACTGCATTCTTGGCATAACTGAAATGATTCAAATGGATATTTTATGCAGTCCAAGCACACAGACAAATATGAGGGAAAAAGAAAATCAGGACAAAGAATCCAAAGCGTTTTGCTTGACTAGGCAGCACACAGCAACATGCAGCTCTAAGAGATTTCAAAAAGTTTGGTTCAAAGTTAGATTTACAAACACAGGAAATGTCACCCCTGAAATAGCAATAACCAAGCAATAACCACCAAGAAGGAAGAATTTATAAAGTGACTCTTTAACAGTAAATACAGAATAATATATTGTTGGAAATATGATAATTTGTTGAATGGATTCAAATTGCATTCTATGAAATATTATTAATAAACTAGAGTTGTGTTTATAGCTTTGGGTTTTTTCCTTAGCTACAATAGGACCTCCAATAGTAACTGTGGTTCATAGCAACAAATCCATTGTAGTAAAGCTCCAGCCTCCCCATTCTCCATATAAAAGGAAGAAAGGCAGCAAGATACCAATGACAAATTATTATGATCTGGTGTATCAAGTCTTCATAATTAACAACTTGCTAGATGAGGTAAGTGTATATTCAAATATGAACCCTTTACCATTGAAAAGCCAGGAAAGTATGGGCACACCATTCTTGTTTTACAGCTGAAATAGTCTTCTGGGATTGTGAGAGCATTGATGACTGCACAGGCATTTGTAAACAATGTAGGCTTATTTTTCAGGAATAAAATTTGTTTGAGCTGAGTTGTAAATCCTCCCTGTATTATTTGTCATCAACTTAGTATTTCATACTCTAAGATATATATTAAAAAATTGAGACAGGAGGGGAATTTGAGGGGAGAGGCAGAATTTTCTTTTAAAATCATAAATAAATTATTAATGCTGTGGACTCTGTGTAAGTCCACATGCTGTTCTACACCCTCTGCTGTTAAACTTTACTCACAAATACATTTGCTAGAGAAATGTGCTTGACTGGCTCTTTTTTCTCCACCATGTGTGAAGCAACACAGAGTCCTGGTGTATGAAGGAAAAGACAAGGTTATTAAAATAAAAGATTTGAGGCCTGGAGTCAGCTACTGCATCGTGGCTAAAACCTATGTGCCCATACTGGACCGCAGCAGTGCCTACAGCAGCAGGCAATGCACTGTGCTGCACTGACAGGTAAGTCACTAGCTGAAACTGGAGATGACTCTGGAAGTCAAGATCACAAAGGCAGATGCTCTCCAAAAGGAGAAAATAAAGTGTGGCATAGAAACTGCCATCCCATATGACAATATTAGCTAGAATTCTTACATAATCTCGGTTAGTTGCACACCAGGTAAGGATGATAAGGCCAAGGAGGTTAGAAGAATGGGATAGAAAATTATTTGCATGCTGGCACTGTCCTCAAAATTATCTCCGTACCTTTCTTTAAACAGTTATAAATAGTATTACTTTCATTTTTTTTTCTGTCAAGTAAGAATTAATTAGGAAAATAAGTTACCTCCAACCTTTTTAACATGCAATTCTCCTGCAAGCTCTGCATCTCAATTCTGTTCAGGAATTGATCTGATGGATTAATTAAAATATGCCTGTCCCCTTTTTGTAGCCACTCTTCAGTGTAATTTTTTTAAAAATAAATCAGTTATCAAATTTCCTAAGTTCCTGTGGGCCAAAATGCAAGAGTTAGCTCCATTAGCTGGTCTGAAAATTTGGTTTTTTACTTACCTGAATCACTAGACTATCTTCAGGTATTATATGCCCAGCAAAGAGATTTACCATCAATCCTGTCTTGCAGGTGCAAAGACACGGAGTGTACAAAGACTTAGCCCACAGCTGACTTCACTGGAATTGGCCTTAGCAAGCTCATATCTGGGCCCTTTCTAGGGGGAAACTGAAAAAGCGTCAGAGTTTGAACCTGGGCTTCTGTTCTACCCTAATTGTTATACCCTAACTATAAAAGTTTTCTTTTCTTCAGCTTCATAATATGATGCATAACATTGATCTCTCTTAAGTCTTGGTCAGTGGATTTAGGCTAAGGAGGGAGCCCATTTCTAGGAGACATTCCTGCAGTTTTGCTCACCTTCCCAGTACTGTAAAGAGCTGGAAGCTCAGGTTAGAGTTGGACTTCCAAACAACCTGCAGAGGTGCAGGAGGAATGCAGGAGAATGGCATGTGTTCAGTGTCAGTTCAGTTTAATAACACCCAGCTTAAATGCTCACTCCAGCAGCAATTATCTTTCTCTTCCCAATTACAGGGATAATGGCAGAAGATGCTTTCCATCACAGATCCAGCTGTAAATCAACATCTGTTGTCTATGTCTGGAATACATACTTGGACACTTTTTAAACTAACCTTTGCTGCATTAAATTATTTGATTCCTCGCAATCATTTTATGCTACATGAAGGTCAAGGATTGTTTGTATGTCCTATATTACAATTTATGATGGTATATATTTGCATTTTCAAAGGAAACAGTCTTGTAATATAAAAGAAAAAAACATGCAAAAAGCATTTGTGGAAATATCCTTAAGATTCCTTCTAGGGTTTTTCTATTTTAAGCCTTGGAATTAAAATACAATTTATAAAACAGAAGTTTCAGATATTTTATGTCTTCTAGAACTACGGTTGCAACAGAATATGTAAAAAGTGTCCTCTCTTTAAAATAAGAAATGTACAGTACAGGAGTATGCCCGTGCTCACAGTGTCTTCCTAGTACCCTCAACATGACATTTCTGTCAGTGAAAACAGTATGTGATTAGCCAGGAACTCATTTAAACGAAAACAGGAAAGATCCTTTCTTTCACTTGATGAAAGACATTTAAAAGGAAGAGACTCTCAGCAAGTTTGCTGATGATACAAAACTGGGGGGACTGGTTGATTCACCTGAAGGTTGTGCTGCCATTCAGTGGGACCTTGATAGGATGGAAAATTGGACAGAGAAACCCAGTGAGGTTCAACAAGGGCAAGTGTAGGGAACTGCACCTGGGGAGGAATAACCCCAAGTACCAGTACAGGTTGGGGGCTGACCTACTAGAGATCAGCTCTGCTGAGAAGGACCTGGGAGTATTGGTGGATGACAGGTTGACCATGAGCCAGCAGTGTGCCCCTGTGGCCAGGAGGGCCAATGGTGTCCTGGGTGCATCGGGAAGAGTGTGGCCAGCAAGTTGAGGGAGGTGATCCTCCCTCTCTACTCAGCCCTAGTGAGGCCCCATCTGGAGTAGTTTGTCCAGTTCTGGGCTCCTCAGTATAAGAAAGACAAGGAGCTGCTGGAGACGGTCCAGCGGAGAGCCATAAAGATGATTAGGGATCTGGAGCATCTCTCTTTGGAGGAGAGACTGAGGGAGCTGGGCCTGTTTAGCCTAGAGAAAAGAAGACTGAGAGGGGATCTTATCAATGCATATAAATATCTCAAAGGCAGGTACCACAAGGACAATGACAATATTAGTACTTAACTACATTCTCTTACTGCAGATGAAATGAGAGGAGGAGAGATTGGAGCAGAAACAAAAGGGCAAAGCAAGCCCTGGGAATACTGGATCTCTCTGCTACATAATCACTATCTACTTTTCCCTTAAATCACATACACAAAGGTGAATCGATTCAGTTTAAGTAACTGAGCTTGAGTTCTCTTAAGCCACATCCAAAGCATTTTTCATGGTCTGTCACTAACACCTCAGCTGGAGGCATCACAGCTGACAAACGCATGAGGGTGCTGGCAGTAGGTGTTTGGGAAGAGGCTGTACTTAAGGAAGTGAATGCTCATCATACTTGCCTTTACCAAAATGAAAGAGGTCATTCCATAAAAAAATATTTCCACCACCTGATTTTAATACATTATATATTTGAATGACTAAGTTTGCAGACATCTAGCCATGTCCATATATCTAGTCCGTAACCCCAGGTTTCTTTCACCACACTTCCTCTTTTCACTCCTTTCCCAGTTCTTCCAGTTGCTTTCCCCACCCATATCCCACAGTTTCTTTATTTAGATAAGTTTTTTTAGGACGTGAGTCTTATTAAATCTCTGTACAATACCTAGCGCCAAGACAAGCCTCAGATCAAGCACTGCCCTGCTGCCCCTCTTGCACTGGCCAGAACAACAATAAAACTGACCAGGCAAACTATTAAGAAATAGCCTGTCGTATATTTCAGCAGTGGTGACTTCATCCATTTGTGGGTCATCACAGCCTGAAAATAATATCTGTAGTAATTCAAGTTCTTTCTCGAATTCACTTCTTTCCTTAGTGCGGCTCATGTTGCCACTGTTACACAAAGATAAAGTGTTGTTAAAGTAACATCTACTAACCCTAGCCAGAGAAGACAATGCCAAATACTGTACCTTTGTCAGATGCAGAGGGTGAAACTCTTTTAAAGAAAACATTAAAAAAAAAAAAAGAAAAAAAAAAAGAAAAAAAAAAAAAAGAAAAGAAGAAGCAGCAGAGCCACAGGGACATTTGAAATCTGAAAGTTTTTCAATTTTATTAACTTATGAAAATATGCAGCATGCATACTGAGAAAAACAATAAAAGATCTGAAGAAGTCTTGCACAGTTGTGTTGCTAACCAGATTTCACTTCCTCAGCAACAACACAGGCTTACGGAAAGCAGTGCAAGAGTTGCAGGAACTCACTTCCATTCTGACAGTACCCTGATTTATCATTGCCAGCCCCATGATGTTCTGCAAAAGCAAATTTTCCCTTTCCATTTGAAATGCAAATTTCCTTTCAGTGCTGTTCTGACATGTAATTTTACCAGGGAAGGGCTTGGTGCTGTATTTTTAGTCCACAAAGGCTGAAGGATCTGCACCCACAGCTTCTAGATAGCCTTGGCAATGCTGTAACTTTTAATAACTTATTGTGCCTTAGACTGTATGCTGCACTGCTATTTATGACTCCATGAGGGTGGAATGGAGAAAGAGTTCTCTTAATTACAGCTGGGACTTTCCTGCAGGCAAGTCAGTTTGGAAATACCTGGAAAAGTGAGCTCTACCTCTCCTTTCTCTTTCTCTTCATGGGCACAAGCAGACCATCTCCAGAACTGCCTGGATTGACACACAGCTCTGCAGTGGTTCATGAGCATGTACACCATTCAGTTCAGGATGCTTTCACATCGTTGGCTTGGCTCCTTCTGGCTAAAAGTTTGCAAGGCCCAGCTGAAAACACCCTTCTCTTGTTTTTTTAGTCACCTACAGAGGAGACATTTTCTACCCAAGCGCCAGCTTCTGTTTCAGAAAAGAGATAAATAAATGCTGACTTTTCGGGGTATGGCACTGGGTGGGGAAGACCAAACAGTGTAACGAAAGCAGGACTTAGGACTTGTGCAATCTATTCTGTAAGCTCTCACTTGCCACTTTGCTGAGGGATGTCTGCCTGTCACAATACCTCATCTGGCTGGGTCCCTGTATCACGGCCGAGGGTCCCTCTAATGAGAAATAAATACTATGTGTTTGAGAGTTTGAGGTTATGGACTTTGTTGTGAAGTGGAGCCCATCCCACAAGGGTCTACCCTTCTTTCTTTCATGACGGTATTTGAACATTATCTTATCTGTTGGATGGAATAAGTGCTTATCTCCTACTATAAATGCCTTTATCTTCCCATTCCGCTGGCACTCACAAGAGCGGTATTCAGCTACCAGAAATTCAAGAACAGGGCTCCAGAAAAGCTGATAGAGAAACAGCAATGGACCAGATGCTCCAGCCTTATAAATTAGGAGAAGATTATGCATAGCCAGCTGTACCATATAAATGCCCATTTTTATATGATGCCATGATCCTTGATGTCTATCATATGATGTAGCATCTGGCCAGTCTTGTTCACACCTCCCGTATATCTGCTTTAATCAGATGTGAACTTGGGGTTTATTTACTTGCATGACTTGATCTCTGCTAAGAACCGCTTCATGGCCCAGGGGTGGGGCTCTGTTGTGAAATGGTGTTGGCTTTTGCCACAGATCTATTAGATGTTATCAAGTATTCCAGCCTGCAGAGAATTAATCATAAATAGGTGGGGTTTTCTATGGATTTCAATGTTTGCTACAAAGATATTAATCTGTAAAATCTGGCTGATAAAAAAAAAAAAAAGCACCCCAAACTCCTGAGTGTTAGTTTGTCACAAAGGACACAAGACACAAAACAAGAGTACTTCTTTGGAGAAGGGGAGGGAAAGAAAAGACATCGGTGTTCACTGCTAGGAAAGCTACAGTCTCCTTTGCAACTTGTTTTCAGAATCTTTTATAAAAGTTTTCCAAGGAAAAAAAAAACCTTTAAAATGTAATTCCCCAAATGATGAAGTAACTGGCTGTTACTTATGTGTTTAGTCTGCTGAAGGCCCAGTTCAAGGGGTCATTGCTGCCAGAATTTTGGCTTGAGATGAGGAAAAATGAGAGGCTTGAGCCTTGGTGCTTACAAGGAAAGTTCAGAAAGGGAATACTTGAAAAAGCTCCATCATCTGAGGTAAATACTGAAGATAGTCCTAAATTTTAAACATTGTGCTCTTTTCTAAGGCAGTGGGGATTTGATGCTGAGTTGCCTAAATACCCTCAAAAAGGACAAAATGCAGCCCAGTGGTATCATGCTGGAAGATAAGACTCTTTTAAACACAGGAACAGGATGACAATGAAGAGCCATTGTGCTAATTTCTATATCTACAAAAGAGCAACAAAATTGTCATTAATTAATTCATTTCAGGCACTGTCATTCTGATACTTTTTTTTCTTTTTGGGGGAGTGAGAAATCATACAAATCTCCAAGAAACAGTTTTTCATTTTCTAACAACAGATGAGTATTTCTTTAACATTGCTTGTTATGAGACACTGGGTTTAATAGCTGACAGGCACATGATTGTTATAGGACTGGGCTAAGGCCTTGTTTCTAGGCTAACATCTAAATATAAAATCTTATACTTGAAACAATAAAGCTCCTAAAAGATATCAGAAAAAAAAACAAGCAATAGGGTTGTCTTTGTTAAATCAAACTTAAACAGTTTCAGAGGGTCTGTGAAGTCACTAAGCATGCCCTGAGTGGAATGAGAATCAGAGAGACAAACCTGGGAAAGAAACTGCTGGGAAAGGCAGAAAAGGCAAGAAGAAAAAGTGCACACATCGAGGGGCTGGGAAGCAGAGAACTTGCAGCATTAGAGCAACAAGCATTCAAAATAGGAGCAAAGTGATTTGGCCAACAACACAGACATTAAGCAGTTTCTGCCTCAGAAAGGGAGCCATATACTTCTGTGGAGCAAAAGTATTTCATATGTGTCCATAGTCAAGGAGAAGATACACCTATAAGGACACAATACTGATGTGTTCTGATCAGAGAGACCATTTCAGCTATTTCAGCAGCAACCTCAGAGGGTGAAAAGCCATCACCGAGAAGGGAAAAGCCAGGCTGAGAAATCCATGCATGTTTGGCAGATACAGCGAAGGATCCACATGAGACCCTCACATCCTGAGGGTGGCAGCTGAAGTCATGACGGGACATCCCACAGTTATACACTCACCATCTATGCTT